GGCTGGGGTGGGCTCTGTACCCCTCCTGGGCCAATAGACCAAGGCCAAACCTCGTACAGGGCTGGGGGCTGGCGTGCGCTTGTTGAATGAACGAGTGACCGGGAGGCTGTGGGCAGAAGCACAAAATCTGTCCCGGCACTGGGGCGTCCCGCGGGGTTGTGGTCCCCAAAGCTGAGTCAGGGCCAGGGAGGAGAACAGAGGAGGAGAGCGCAGGACAGGCCAGGGGATGCAGGGCACAAGATCGCTGGGCGGTCACTCGTCCAGGCATTATGGCTGGGCCTGGTGCCCTCTCAGGGACTGTCTCCACATCTGTCCTTTCGGTCCTGGTCTTGAGGTAGCTGGGAAGGGCTCGCCTCAGGCGGAGCACCCAGGTGTCCGGGTGGGATGTGACCCCTAGGGCCCAGACCCAGGTGACTCCCCAGGCTCGAGGGCGTGGCTGTCCCCAGCCCCCTCGGGCCTCAAGCTTACTCCCAGGGTTTTCTCGGGGACACCCAACCCCCAGCCGTTCATCCCGTCCCTCCAGTGAAGGGGGCTCAGAGCATGCGGGGCACAGTACTCTTCTGTCTGCAGAGCCTGTGGCTGGGCCTCGGTGTCCCCATCTATAAAACGGGGTGACAGCGATAAAGCCTCCCACCGGGCCCTCATGCCAGCGCTGGAGGGGGCGCTATCGCTGACCCTGCGCAGACGTGACACTGAGTGCAGAGAGCGAGGGGACACAGCGAGGGGCTGGTAGGGTGGAGGAGCCGGGGCCCTCAGCCCCAGTGCTTCTAGATGGGCTTCTGACTCTTGGCTTTTGTGCTCCTCTAATGGCGAGTTGCTAAATCACTCAGGCCTTCGGTGTCTCGCGCCCCAGGCCACCACTCAGCGTACCTCAGTCCTCCGCACGGCTCCCTGAGGCTCAGAGAGGTGAGGTGACTTGCCCGAAGCCACCAGCACGCTTGTGGGCAGGATTTCTGGGAAGAGAAACCACAGAAGGGGTGTGCAGGGGCCAGACCCGCCAGAGAGGGGACCCGGGGAGACGGGGAGACGGAGACTGGTCAGGGCCCCCTGCCCTCTGGCGGCACAGCTGCCCCACGGCCCCCTGGCCGCAGGCCTCCTTGCCTCCGGTAAATAATTAATTAGCCCCTACTCACTTGTTTGTTTAGCATGAGGAATGCTCCCCCACTGAGACGCATTTATTGCTGAATAAATTTAAATATCTAATCTTCCCTTCATGAATATTACAGCACCCTAAATAGCGGCCAATGTATCCTAAATGCTTTGGCAAACGGCCCCCACAGGAGCCCACCCGCCTCCGCCTCTGCCTGCCGGCAGTGAGGACGCCTGGTCTCCCCCGGCCTCCCGGTGTCCTGCCCGGCTGCCCGGCTGCCCGGGGAGGAGGGGCTGAGTGTGGGGCGTGGAGGCCGCACTGCTGGCCGGAGGGTGGGGGGTGGCTCCCAAGCAGGGTGCTGGGCTTATCTGGGGGGAGTGTCTGGGACCCAGAGGATCGGGGCTGGGGCAGAGGGTGACAGGGTCCCCAGACAGCAGCAGCGTCGGAGGAGCTCAGGAATCAGGCAGGAGAGATAGCGTCGGGGGGGGGGGGGGCCCAGAGGACAGGGGACAGAGGGTCTCCAAGGCAGCCTTGCTGGGTGGGCGCGGCTGGACAGTCAAGCAAAATGAGTGGCCACAGACCTCTGAGAAGCTGTTTCTCTGTTGGGAGGGGGAAGTGTTGACGTGAGGAGGGGGACAGGAGCCAGGCTGCAGGCGCTGGCAGTGAGGAGGGACGCTGACACAGCAGGTACAGACGTTGTCTTCCCAGAGTAGGTGAGGAGAGCGGGCAGGAGCCAGACAGCCCAGGGCGGGGGTGAGGGGCACAGACCCTTTCTGTGCCCTGGAGGAAGCAGAGGGCACAGCTGTGTGACCTTGGGCAAGTCTCTCACCTTCTGCGCCTCAAATTCTCAAAAGCAGGAAAACCAGCAGCGCCTCCTGGGGCAGTGCGAGGGTGGAGCAAGAGCCGGAAGGGAAACCGCTCAGCACCTGGCAGGTGCGCGGTGGCAGAGGGGCGGGGTGGGCCCAGGGCAGACTTCTGGGCGGGGGCGGGAGGGAGGGGTCCAGGCCTGAGCTGCTGGGAAGTTCAGACTCCCCAGGAGGGACACCAGTTTCCTGCTGGAGGGGATGCGAGGGAGGTTAAGATGGAGGTTTGTGGTTTGTTTGAAGGTGGCTGAGGGGAGCCAGGGAGGGGACGGAGGGGTCAACTGATATGAATTGGGGACGTCCTCTCCCACCAGGCAGCCCCAGGGGCCAGGGCCTAGAGCTTTTTCCAGAAGCCCCAGGGTCAGGCGGGGAGGGGAGGGGGCCCTTCCTTGGATGGAGCCCCTCAAAGCCTCCCCCTTGCGGGCTCCAGGGCTGAGCTTAGCCTCCTGCGAGCCCAGGACGGGGCCTGGAGAAACAGGGGCAGGGCAGCCCTCTGGGCCTCTGGCTGAGACGGCAGGGTCCCCTCTGGCACTCAGACATGGGAGAAAACAAAGCTGGCGCTGGACAGGCAAGTGGCAGGAGGGGCCGGTCTGGGCTCTGGCCCAGGGGCAGTGCCAAGGCCCCTCCCTCATCTCGGCTTTGAGGGAACTGCTCCCCTGGCCCGGACAAAGCAGTGACAGGGCCGGCCCGGGCTGGAGGCTGCCCAGAAGGCTCCAGTTCCTCCCCTCCTCCCACCTTGTGCCTCCAGGTTGGCCCTGAAGGCCTGGCTGCAGGCCCGTCCGCTTCTGCAGGAAACAGTAAATCCCTGCACACAGATCTCAGGTAGCTCCACTTCCGCATGCCACCCCCTCTCCCCAGCAGCAGGCCAAGGTCACTGGCAGGGCCGACAGCACAGGGAGGTGGCAGGCAGCCGGGTGCCAAGCGGCCGGCACCACTGGGCAGGGCTGGGATGTCCCGGGAGGGCTGGCTTGGGCACATCGCATACACGCCGAGCAGCCTGAGCACACCTTGCCTGGACGCCACCTCCCAGCCCGTCCATGGTCCCAATAAAACAACCAGCACGCACGTTGTCATCACTCACGCCAGGCACTAGTTTTAGCACCAATAGCAGCGAATTTCTTCTTTTCATCTCAGGGCACGTAAACTAATTACTAAAATTCTGCAGCACATCAAAAAATATATTTGTTGCAGATCTGACAAAAAAGATAAGTATAATTTTAATTCATTCACACTAGATGGCTATTGTTGTGTTTGTTGGCTGTTTGTTTGTTTTTAACTTGACAGTCTAAGGGAAAAGAGGTCAGTGCCCCTGCTAAATAGTCCCGCGGTCGTGCTTTAAAACTTCCGGCGGCACAGGAAGTGGCTTCACCTAATCCTTTCGATAGCCTCCATTATCCCATTTTACAGATGGGGCCATGGAGATCCAGTGAGGATGTACCCTGGGTCCCACATCTGTGACTGGCGATGCGGGGATTTGAACCCAGCTGCCCAGCTCCGCAGCTCCTGCTGCAGCACACAGTGCTGGGTGGTCAGCCAGCACCCCCGCCCTCAGCAGACACACCGCACGTGGACGCTGTCCATGCCAGGCTGTACTCTTTGCAGCACGTGGACACTCCCCTCCCCTCCCACGGGCTGCAGCTGCCGTTCTCCCTGCACAGGAGAGGGTGAGGGGCCCAGTCCCAGATCCCCTCCAGGGTTCCCCCAACTCCTCCACCCCGTCCAACCCCACCTGTGGGATGCGCTGGGAAATCTCCTGGGACCAGCTTAGAGTGAAGTTGCAAAATGAGGTTTAATTGGGACCCATAGGGCACAAAAGAAAACAGAAGAGGGGGCTGGTCCAGCTGGCGTCCCTGGAGCTGCGCCAAGATGTTGGGGTGGGACTGTGATGGAGGAGGAAGGGCCTCCATGTGTGCGTCTGTGGAATGGAGAGGCAGCGGTCCTTTCCTGCTGCCCAGCACTGTGAGCAGCCAGCAGCTGGTGCCCAAGGAGCCCTTGGCACAGGCCTGGGAGCAGTGGGAGCTGGGGAGCTGCCAGAGGAGGGTCCTCATCTCCTGGCCTGGATGCCAACCCCATCCCTGCGGAGGTGTCACTGTCCCAATTTTCCAGATGTGGCAGTGGACACTCGGGGGAAAGGACTTGGCAATGTGCCCCACTGGCACAGGCAGTGAGAGGCCAGCCTGGACTTGACCCCGGTCTGCCTGAGGCTGGGCCCCTCCCCTCCCGCAGGGGCCTCGCAGGCCCTGGCACTGGGGAGAGGTAGAGCTGCAGGAGCTCCACTGTGCCTCCCGCCCCGCCCGAGTTGTTTACCTGGGCCAGGGTCCCCAGAGCCTCCATCTAGGCCCCTGAGCCGCTCGCTCTTGCTCTCCTAACAAGCCCAGGCCTGGCCCCAGTTAAGCCGGATGTGCTAACAAGGAGGCTCATTAATGAGCAGAGTGCGCCCGGGAGGGGCGGGAAGACTAGGCTCAAGGCCCCGACCAGATCTGCCGCTTGTCACTAGGTGGCCTCGGCTTCCCTATCTGTACAGCGGCTCCTAGAGCCTGCACGGCCCGAGGAGCCTCCCCTGGGGAGGTCGACCCTGGGGTCGGGTGTGCGGTGCCTGCTGCCGCACCCCGGCCGAGCCCAGGGTAAGAACTTAGCCCTGGTCAGGCGCCGGTGGCGTTTCCCGCAGTCTGGACCCCACCGCTCAGAGCCGCCCACCTGCGGGGACGCCCCTGTTCACGGGCGCCCTCAAGGTGCGGCTTGGGAAGAGCAGGGCGGGCTGGGGGCGCCCCCTGCCGGCCATGTAGCGTTGCTGTCTGCCTGGGTCCGCAGCGGCCCCTCTCTGGGCCTCGGTTTCCCAGGTGGGAAACAATGGCGGGCGCGGAGGGGGCGGTGGGTAGGTGATGGGAGCGGTGGGGGGCCGCAGCAGGGAAAGGCGTGGTACCTGGTGAGCCATAGCACAATCGAGCGGGCCGGGACCGTTCTGTTCTGGGCCTCAGCCGCCTCCTCTGTAAAACGGGCTCGGGCAGGACGCGGGGAGCCCACGGCTCACTGCCTCTCCCCTGCAGTGGACGGCTGCATTCACCGGGCCGCCGGGCCCCTGCTCACCGACGAGTGCCGGACCCTACAGAACTGCGACACAGGCAAGGCCAAGATCACCGGCGGCTATCGGCTGCCTGCCAAGTGTGAGTCCACATATCCCCAGCTGTGTAGGGCGCATATGGGAGCCTTGAGCCATTAGTGCGGCCCCCGCAGATTTGGGGGAGGCCTCCTCAGGGAACACCTCTCAGCTGTAAGTGCCGGGACCCGGCCCCTCCTCGCACACCCCAAAAAGCAGGCAGAGGGGGTGCGTGGAGGCTGGAGTGGGATAAGGACGGGAAGAGGGTGGGGGAAGAGCTAAGGGGGCGGGGCCTTTTCGCGCCCAGTGGCACAGACCTCCCAGCCCGGTGCACACACCTGTGGGGAGCCGCCCCACATGGGCCTGCCATGTCTATCAATGTGCGGATTTGGGCTCCACAGCGCACCGGTCCGCCCGCATGGGCGGGGTCCTCCCCTGGGGGGCCGTGGAACTTGGGGTGGGAGAGGGCCCATTTCCCATCCCATCCAGGGCCCAGGCTGGCAGGAGAACCGAGGACGGCAGTGAGAGACCCAGGCCAGCCTGATCTGGTCACGTCTTGCAGATGTCATCCACACGGTGGGGCCCATCGTGCACGGAGAGCCCAGCGCCAGCCAGGCTGCCGAGCTCCGCAGCTGCTACCTGAGCAGCCTCGACCTGCTGTTGGAGCACCGGCTGCGCTCCATGGTGAGGGCGCTCGGGGTGGGGCTGGGGGTGGCCTTGGGCAGGTGGAGACGTGGCCTCACTTGAAGAGGTGGACTGGGGCAGGGCAGTGACGCTGTCCTGATACCTCTCCCTTCTACCCCTGCCAGGCGTTCCCCTGCATCTCCACGGGCGTCTTTGGTGAGTGGAGTCACGGGTCGGGGGGCGGGGGAGGAAGGGTGGGTGGGCAGTGGCCGGCCCAGGCACACAGAGGGGTGGGGCTGGCGGTGCTGTGGGCGGGGTCTGAGTGGGTGCTTAGCGGGCCAGAGCTGGGGGCTCACTCTGACTGGGTCCCCAGGATACCCCAATGAGGCAGCGGCCGAGGTGGTGCTGGCTGCGCTGCGCGAGTGGCTGGAGCAGCACAAGGACAAGGTGAGGTCTGGGCCCAGTTGAGAGGGCCAGAAGGGATGGGGCGACGGGGACATCCAGGTCCCAGTAACCGGCACTGTCCATCCTCGCCCAGGGCAAGGGTGCGGAGCACCCCACCCAAGGGTCTCTGGCCAGGGCTGTCCTTCCTGCACCACCCCCTCCCCCTGCCAGCTCTGGCCTCTCTCACACACCCCATGAGTCTCTCCTGTCAAGGGCGTAGCCCAGCCTGAGAGGCTGTCCCAAAGGGAAGACAGGCGACCCTTCGGGGCCCAGGGCGGGGGGCAGCAATGAGCCTGGGGAGCCAGGGGCCGGGCAGCCCCCCCAGGCTGAACAGGCCCTGGCACAGGTGGACCGGCTGATCATCTGCGTGTTTCTGGAGAAGGACGAGAGTATCTACCAGCGACGGCTCCCCCACTACTTCCCAGCAGGTAGGTACCTGTGGCTCTGCCCATGGCCCATCAGCCCCTACCCCACCCACCCAGGGCGGGTTCTCAGTGTCCTCTGCATTCCAGCCTGATGGCACCCCACCGCACACCCTGCCCAGGACCGGTAAGCAGGGCCTGGCCCGCTGTGTGGCTACCCACTAACCTCCTGCCCACTAACGCGCCCGCTCAGCCCCTGCACTCACCCCCACGCAGGGAGGCAGCCTGGGAAGCCCACAGCCCACCGCTGCCCCAACCTCTCTGCTCTGCCCGCAGACTCACCGGGGCCTGCTGGACCTCGCTCCCAGCTCTAATAGGTCACTGAAGCCTGCAGCTGGACCTGGGCCCCCCACCCTTCTCCCAGCCCCTTGCCCCTCAGGAGTCTGCTAATAAAGACCACGCTTGCTGCAGCGTCTGTTGTCCGCGCCCTGGCTGGGGTGAGGCAGGTAACCACAGGTGTAGGCAGCGCTCGGGTTCCAAGGCGCTGCTGAGAACGCTCGGCGAGCAGACAACGGCAGAGGTGGGCAGCAGCACTTCACATTTATTGAGGGCCTGCCCCCAAGGAGCTCACAGCCTGGGTGCTGAGCCCCCACACGTCCGGGGTGGGGAGGAAAGGCGGTGAAGGCAGAAAGGCAGGCAATGCAGACACTGTGGCCCAAGCAAGGGGTGCGAAGCAGGCACAGGCACGGGGCCTGGGGTGGACAGGGATGGCAGCCTGGCAGGTCCTAGGGACCCGACCAAGCGGAGGCTTGAAGGCTGCCCCTGCCCGACCAGGGCGGGGTCGTCAGGGCTGCCTTAGCCCCTCCACACCTGCTTGAGCCCCCGCCATCATGCCGGCCCTCTCCACCCCGTGCTCCTTGCCCATGCAGACCCTGAGGGAAAGCGGGCAGCAGCATGGAGGTGGGCCTGGGAGGGAGCAGCCTGAAGCCCTGACGGTCCCAGGCCCCTGGGAAAGCCTCCAAGGACTTCCAAACGTCCCCGGAAGCCCCCGGGGCCAGCCAGGAGGAGGGAGGCGCAAGGGAAGCAGGATCCTGATAACCAGGAGGGGCGCCCCAAGAGGCCCAGCCCCTCAAAACTGCTGCTGGCGGGGAGGTTTGGGGGTGGACAGGCAGAGGCCAAGAGGAACCCGCCCAGGGGAAGGGGGACAGCCAGACACACAGCAGCCAGGCAGGAGCAGCAGAGCAGGGACACGCACACGCGGCTCACCACCAGCATCCCCTTTAATAAAACACGGAAGGTTGTGTGACAGGGAGGGGGAGTGAAATATGACCATTTACAACCACACAGAAACCTCTGTACATGTCTAGCGCCTGGCAGAGGGGAGGGCAGCAGGGCAGCGGCGGGCGGGGCCAGCCCTATTTGTAGAGGATGTCGTAGTGTCCGGGCCGGTAGAGAAGGTAGACCTTGGGCTCAGAGCCCTCAGGGAAGATGTGCGGGTTGGTGGTGCCGCCCTCACCGCGGTCCATGTACTCCACCTGGATGGAGACGCTGAGGGCCTGGGCCAGGGCGATGATGTGGATGTGGTCGCTCTCCTTGCACATGGGCTCCACCTCCTGCGGCACAGGTGCAGGTCAGGGCCTCAGCGCCCCACCCCATGCCCCCGCTGCCCCCAGGCGCTCCCCCAGGCCCTGGTGATCCCCACCCTGAGAGGAGAGAGAAGGGAGGGCCCTGGGTCTGACAGGCGGGGTGGGGCGGCACCTGCTGGCAGAACTCCTTGACAGTCCGCCCACCCTCGATGAAGTGCTCGAAGAACTTGCTCTCCCGCTGCAGGTAGCCAGAGGTGAGCAGCCGCAGGTAGACCACCAGGTAGTCCGAGGTGCTCTGGTCATTGAAGGAGGCCAGCAGGTCGGCTACCGAGGTCTGCTTCTCCACCTGCTCAATCAGGTCCATGAACTGCCACCAGCGGGGACAGAGGGCAAGATGAGGGAGGAGATGGGTCAACCCCGCTGCGGCCAGGCCACCCACCCTCCACTGTGGCCGAGCAGGCGACAAGGCCGCTGGGCTCACCGTGTTGTGGAAATCCTCAATTGTGAACTCGGTGAAGCCCTGGGACACCAGGTCTTCTTTGCTCTTGGCAGACACAGCCTTGAACCTGGAGGTACGAGGGAAAGGGAGACGGGCGTGGGCTCCTCGGTCAACAGAGCAGGAGGCCGGCCTACTGTCCAGCCTCTGGCGGAACTGGACCTCCTGGTCATTGAGACGGAGGAGGGAGCCCCACGACCCCTCAAGGAACGGTGTCGCCCACCCCCTTCAGTGCCCAAGTGCCCACCCGCCTCACCTCTGCAGTTCCTTGCTGTCATCCAGCAGCGCCTCCAAGTGGGAGAACCCAAAAGCTCGATAGAAGCAGTTCCCGTCGGGCCTGGTCTTGCGGATGTAGGAGTACTTTTTGTGGAGGTCCTGCAGAGAGGCAGCCCCGCCCACCCCTGCCCGTCAGCACGGGGCCAGAGCCAGGACGGCCAAGGAGCCACCTCACAAGGGTCACACCGCAGCAGCGGCAACTGGGCTCCCAGCAGCTAGCTACCCGCCATCCTTGGCTGCTGACCCTGGTGACGAGTCACTCAGTGGCCTACCGCCCAGAGCTCCCAAAGCCTCAGGAAACCGTGACTGACGTACACACTGGCTGCCCCAGCCACCGGCCACACCACGCTCCGGCGCCAGTACCTGACACACTGCCTGGGCCTGCAGAGCCCTCTGCTCATAAACACTGGCCAGGGAACCAGTCCCTGACTGGTGAGTGCAGCTTGTCCAGTGAATATAAAGTTTTTCAAACCATGAAAGACCAGGGCAAACTGGTTGGGGTGAGGGTGCTCACAGCCCCAGGCCGGGATGGGACGGCCTCCCTTGGCCCCTCCTTGCGCTGCCCTGCCTGTTCGCGGGCGCCACTGGTGGGAGCTCTTCCCGTTCCCTCCCGCCAACTCCACAGGCTTCCCTCTGCCTGTGGAACCAGCCCACGCTAGTGCGCTCCTAGTGCTGCCCGACAAACAGGCCTCAGTCCCCGGCCTCGGCGCCCTCCCCTGCCCCCCACCCCACGGCTACCTCACACCTTCTCCACGCTCCATAGGCCGCACCCCAAGACGCTGCTACACTTCACTTCCCGCTGCTTTCGGGCCCTCCTCGTCCGCGTTCCTACCGCCACTCCTCATCCCTCTAACCTGCGAGGGTCAGGGCCACCTCCAAACCACCTAACACCCTTCCAGACGCACTGTATCACCTGCCAGAAGATGGTCATGACGCACATCCACAGTGACTGTCACGTGAATGGCACAATGTCTGCTTATCAACCCTCTCTCTTGATGTCATCAGTCTTGGGATTTCAGTAGTTCTAATTGTAACTGTTTGCCCACTCCTACCTCGGCCCTGGACTCCAACACGTCCAACCGCCTCATCGACAGCTCCTCTGCGCCGCCCGGTCTGGCATGGCAGGCCCTGACCTCCCCACTACCCGCTCCTCTGGCCTTCCCATCCAGTCAACGGCAACGCCGCCTTCCAGCCTAAAACCTCCGGGTCGTTACCGACCCCTCCCTCATACCACGTCCCGTCCAACGCAGAGCCTTTGGGCCCCACCCCGAGCGCACTCAGTATCGAGCGCTTCTCACCACCTAACTGCCCCCTCCTCCCGCCTGTCCCCGGTCACAGCTGTCACTCCTGCCTCCTGATGGTTTTATCCCAAAGCTTGCACCTCAGGCCTCCTTGCCTCCACTTGTACTCAGCCAGCTCTCGCCCCGGCCGCTGGAGCGACCCTAGAACCGAGGATGCCCCTTATCTTCCTCCGGGGCCTTTCTCTGTCCACAGCGCCCCATCTCCCACCCTCCCCCCACCTCCACTCCGCTTCAGCCGCCCTGGGCCCCACACCGCTCCTCAAATCACCCGCACACTCCTGCCCGGGGCCGCCGCAACCGGCTCGCCTGCCTCTGTCAGTTCAGTCACTCAGACCCCACCTGAGCGAACCCTTCGCCGGGCACCTCCACCCCGGCCTCCTCGCCCACCTCGCCGCTCTCCACAGCACTTACTCCCTCCTGGCGCAGACATTTCGGTTACCCTGAGCCTAGTGCCTGTCTTCCCACTAAGTATCGCGAGGGCAGGGGTTTGCCAGTGGAAGTCACCCCTCTATCTTCTGTATCCAGAACAGTGCCTGGCCCACAGTATGTGCCCGTACAGCTCACAATGCGTACAAAAAGCCCACATCACTGCAGCTCCCAGAAATTACTAGAGTCCTTCTGCGCACTTACTCCTTGCCAGGCCCTGTGCGGAGGGCTAGTGCCCATGACCCTATTAATCCTCAGAGGGGTCCATTTCACAAAGCCACCCAGCTCCGTTTAGGCTCTGCCCGCTAGGCTCAGGCGCCTCCGTGGAGCAAAGGTGGGTTCAGGCATTCGGGCACAACACCAAGTGAGCGCGTCGGTCCCCTGCGCGCACAACACGCAGACACTCGAACATTCGCTGAACGGCTCAATGGGGAAGAACCTGAGCCGCCCACCCTGTCGGTGTTACCAGGGTGACCTAGGTGGGACACATCGGACTTGCAACTGGGGCCCCACTGCACTGACCAGCTACTGAGCTCAGCACCGGACTGCCAGGGCCTCCTGCGAGCCTCACACTCGCCCCGAGATGCTCGGCGTGTTGCCCGGCATCACACAGCTGGCAGTGGCGGAGTCCGCCTCACCCCCAGGGGTGCCGGGCCCAGGGCCAGTGCCTTCGGCTCCCCACAGACCGTGGGTAAATCACAGGCGCGCTGGGCATGGGGGGAGACAGACAGCAGGTCGTGCGCAGCCGCAGCTGGTCTACAGATGTGGTGTTTGGTCCACACATTTTAAATTTGGACTAGCTGCCAAGCGTTAGGAGTCCGGAGATTTCATATCAACACAGATCTGGCACCAAAGGAGTGACAGGCACGGTCACGCCCATTTGCCCCAGGTGCTTCCACTCCCAGCTCCAGGCCGATTCAGAGCTGCGACGCCTCCCCTCACCTGGGGTAGCTGCCTGGCCCCGACTCAGGCAGCCCTGAAGGCCCCTCCTTTCAGATGAAAGGTTCTAAGATCTTTAGGGGGAAGGGGAGAAGCAACATTTACTGTATGCCCAGGCTGTGCCAATGGATACTGTTCACACATGCCCACCGCCACATTTTAGCCTCGATTTCGGCCTCCCAGCTCATAGATGAGTGAGTGGTTACACGTACCCGTTTGTAAGTGGAGTACCAGGCCCGGCACAAGGGCTGGAGCCCCTTCCCCACTGCCGCCTGCCTCTCCACCAAGGCCCTGGAAGGAGGCTGGGGGATGTACCTCTGCCCCGCGCCTCCGCCCCGCCCCCCCCCCCAGCCCCAGCCCACTCAGCCCCCCTGTGAGCGCTGAGACCGTCAGCCCCGCCACCAGGCTGCTCCTTGCCCCACAGGCATCCTCTCTGCCGCCCTCACTCCCACCCTCAACCACCACGGTCTCCTGACTGCATCGCCCGGATTTCACAGGTTAGGGCCCCACAGCTCAGACACGGAAGGGCCTGCTAAGGTCTTCTGATTCCAGACTCTGCACACTTAAGGACCAGCGACCAGAGGGCTCCCCAACACCCTACCAGCTAGGAGGCCCAGCCCAGCAAGGGGAAGATCATTACCCCTTGCCCGCCCCCACCCACAGCGCTCTTCCTGCCCCCTCAGCCAGGCTCCCACCTTGATCTTCTGTTGATAGATATTGTCGTCCTCGGCGTATTCCTTGTACAGGACTGAGAGCTCCAGTCGCTCTGAGACCAGCGGGTTCTGCACAGCAATCTGCAGAGGCAGGAAACCCATCATGCTCTGGCAGGTGGCTAGAGTGACCTACACCTAACAGCCAGGGCACCTAGACGAAGGGTGCTGGGCCGCTCACCCAGTGGCACAGTGACCCCCCACCCCCCGCCCCAATAAAGGGATCCAGTATCTAGCACAGCCTGGAGCTTCCAAAGTCGGGAAAAACAACAGGCCTCAGGCCCAGCCTATGCACCCCCATAACAGGGCAGCTGGCCACAACCCCTCACCTCTTGCTGAATTCGGTCCTGCTGAGCCATGATGGCTTCATCATAGGCAAGACAGTTAACACCTGGAAGAAGGAAGCAGGCCAGGGATTACGGCGGGCCCTGGCTCTCTCCACTCGGGGCAGCGGCCCGAGAACAAAAGCAGCCCGGAGAGCAGGCTGAGAATCTGAAAGCACACATCTCACATCTTGCTCCTCCCAACCATGTGACCTTGGCAGAGCCCTTCCCTTCTCAGGCCCTAGTTTTCTCATCTGTAAAATGCGGGGGGAGAGGTGATCGCCCCAAGGTGTGTTCCTCCAGCTCGAACACCCCCTTCCCCGGGCGTTCTAGCATCACTTCCCAGCAGGCTGGGGTGCTCTGGGGCTGGGCGGGGTCCCCTGGGGAAAGTCACAGGCAGAGGCAGAGTCTGCGGCTGGAGGAGAGCTTCCTGTGAGCCTGCACTTTACTTGACCACACCCTTTCTCCTTCTGCTGTCCTGTGCCTTCTTAATGGTGCCCATTTCATAGATAAAACACATGCAGACAGGTGAAGTATCTGCTCAAGGTCACAACTAGTAAACACTTCTGGTCAGACCCAGGTTTGCCTAATTCCCAAGGCTTAGCTCTCACCACAATACTTCTCCTCTGCCGTCTCACTGCAAAGAACTTTCCTCAACTTTAAAAAAGAGCCAATTCCATCCCCTTCCTCCCCTCGATGAAATACCGTGAGATGGCACCTTAGAGACATCCTGTTAAGTGCTCACAGGTGAGCTGGGCAGGTCCAGGGGCCGGGAATTCTGGTCCCGGCTCTTTCTGAACTTTTGTTCAAAAAGTTCAAGTCCCTGAACAAGTCCCTTCCGGGGGCCTGGGTCTCCCAGTGCTCAGACCCTCAAGTGTGTGGTTGGGATGGGTGTGTGAGCTAAATGACTTTTAAGGTCAAGACTTTTGGGCCTGAGTCTCCCAGATCCTTAGCTGGGCCTCGACCCAGCCCTTCCACTGCCCTGCAATGGCACTGTCCCTGCCCCCCAAGGGACTTACTCAGTCCCCAGGGCCTGACTCCTGGGTGAAAATGGAGAGAGTGGCACCATTTTGAAAGGGCCAGCTCTTCAGAGGGCGAAGAAAACAATGCCCAGGCAGGCGGAAAGGGGCTGCAAGGCCAGAAGAGGGGGCTCCCCCGGAAACGCAGGCTGCAGTGTTCGGGGAACACACCCGCGGGCCGCGCACACCCCCGGCCGCCCGCAGCATCCCCAGCAGCCGCCCAGCCCTTTGTGCTCCGGAGTCCGCTGTAACACGACGCCCGCCCGGGCGCGGGCGCAGGCTGCTCTGGAGAAGGCGGGCGGGCGGCGGAACCCCGACACAGGCCTCGGCCTGACTGCAAGGACCGGGGCGGCTGGGCTGGGTACCTGGGAGCCCCGCGCCGATGGGGCTGAGAGGGGGGCGGGGCGGCCCAGGCCCCGCCCAGGGCGCGCGCGCGAGAGAGAAGGGCCGCGGGCCCGGGCCCGCTCCGCCAGCCCGGCCGGGGGTCGCGGCGGCGGCTCCTTCCATTGTGAGGGGGAGGGGAGGTGGCGGCAGCAGTAGAAGAGGAAGGGGACGTCGTGCGCTTGCGCTTCGCCCCCGGCCGGCAGCGGCCCCGCCCCCGGCATCCTCCGGTACCAGCTTCCCGACATCGGCCCGGCTAGCCCGGGCCGTGCGGCCCACCCCGAGTCAGTACCTTCGGAGTCGCTACCCAGCGGCTCCTGCTTCTGCTGCTGAGGTTCCTCCGCCGCCATCTTTAAACAGCGCCGCACTGCTGACCGCTTCCGGGTTACCAATCGCCCTCCTCCCGGAAGAGAGCCCCTCCTCGTGGCCCCTCCTTGGCAACGCCTCTAGCAACGGGAACCCCTCCGGCGCTGCTATCTGAGGGGCTGGAAGTCCCTGGGGCCGCTGCAGCCCACTGCGAGGACGGCTGCCCCCGCCCACCCTGCGTCCGCGCACCTGCCTGGCTCCATCTTCTCAGGTTCTCCGAGCTCCCGGGGCCGAGGAGAGCCTCCTGGAACCAGTTCAGTTTTCCTCTCTTTGCTGTTGGAAACGCGGATTGTATTATGGAGATAAGTAGGAAGGTGAAATTGAAGTCACCCAGGGCAACATTCCTGCGGTGGGCTGCGGCGCTCAGGGCAGGTGAGGAGCGCCGGGCCGAGGAGTCAGGGAATCCTGCTGCCACCAGCCCTTCTCCACGGGCCTGCGGTCGGAGCGGGCTTTGGCGCCCCGCTTCTGGCCCGGAGAACAGGTCCCTCCGGGTCAAGGCCAAAGTCTCGGCACCTAACTCTGGACCCCGTGTACTTCTGGTTATGAGGAAAACAAGGTCTTTTTAAAAACAGGGAGTTGATAAAAATGAAAAACAGATTAGTGGCTGCCAGGGGTTGAGGAGGCGGTGGGAGCCCGAGGAAAGTGGGTGTGATTGTGAAAAGGAAACAGGAGGGACCTTTGTGGAGATGAAAACATTCAGCATCGTAGCCGTGTATGAATATCCTGCAAGGTGCTGTACTGTAGTTTTGCAAGATGTTACCAATGAAGGAAACTGCGTAAAGAGTACATGGGATCTTTCTGTGTAATGTGCTAAAGCTGCCTGTGAATTATCTAAAAATAAAATACTGCGAAGTGGCAAGGCCTGGAACGCTGAAGCTACTGAGAGCGTTGACAGCCTGGGGCCCTGGTTCCTGACCCCCAGCTCCCGCCCCCGCCCCCGGCCTTTCTCATGGCCGTGCAGTGGCCTCTCCAGAGGGCTGCGCCGGGCTCCCGATCAGGTGCCTCGGTTCGTGGCCGTGCAGGAGTGGAATGTGTTCACAGCTCTGTCTGGTCCTGGAGCAGGTGCATTGGTGCCCGCGCTCACCACACAGCCCACGGCGACCTTCCCACAGCAGCACTACAAACATCACATCTATGTCCCAGAAACATTGCAAATTACTATTTATTGGGTCATCGAGCCTTGGGGTTTCTTCCAAACTCAAGAAAGCAAAGGATCCTCCCAGTCTGAACCCTATGCCTACCAAACTGTTCATTCCTTTTCCAGGTTTTGCAATGAAATCTGTAACTGCCAATCAGCTCTTCAGTCATAATAGAATTGGTATTCTATGAAGAGCTAATTAAGACAGGTCATGACAAAAACATATCTGTTAGGATTTTCAAAATCTTGCGAATAGCTGTAAGACACCTCCAACCTCCCTACCCCCTTACTTCAACTAGGGAGCCCCCGTCAGGGGAGGGAGAGCCCTCTTCTCCATGTCGATTACCTTGTGGTCAATAACGTCTCTTACCCTCCTTCTGTGGTGGTACTTTTTACCATTTTAGCTTTGCTTCTCTATCCTGAAGCATCCAGAGCCCAGCTGCACATTTGCCAGGAGTCGCCAGCACAGCTGCAGACTGTTCTCTGCCGCCCGGTGCACCCACCCAGAGGTGGCCCAGCAGTGCTGCCCTGGCTGGTGAGGCCTATAGTGAAACAGGCCACGCTGGCAGTGGGGTCGGGTTGCTGTTGGACACAGTGGCAAAGGTGGCAGGCGGCAGCCCAGAGCTTTGTTTTCCATGGTGTTGACGTGGCACAGATGCCTCCTCACAGCCCTGCTGGCTTGCAGTGTGTCCGGACCCCATATTCCCCTCTGCAGGATTCGGTCAGGTGGAGGGAGAGGTGACCCCATTCCAGGACCCAGGAACTGTGAGACCTTGGCCTCAGAGGAAGGGTTTGCAGAACAGCGCAGAGGCCCTGGGGGGCCACATGGCTTCCAAGCCCACCCACCTCTTCCACCTCTCAGTGGCGAAGGCCAGGCGACAAGGACACAGCGTGGGCCCTGGGAAGGCCGTGGCCAGGAAAAAGCCTCAGGGGTGAGCCAAAGACGAGGGCCCGGCGATCCTTTCCGAGGAGGCTTAGGAGGCAGGCAGCTGCCCGGATGGGAAGAGTGAGGTGTGCCTGGCCCCAAATGAACCCCTGGAGCTGTCACTGCAGGAACTCAGAAAGGTCCACAGGCAGCTGGCCCCAAAATCAGAGAGGCCAGAGTGGCAGGGGCTGTGCTTGAGGGCTGCTGGCTGGGTCAATGCTCGCGCTCAGGGTCCAGGCCACCTGAGGCAGAAAGCAGCAGAGGATGGGCGGAGGCAGCAAAGGGAGGCACCTCCGCACCCAGGCTCACACACACTCTCCCTTGGGGCACTGTCCTGTAAATGCCTCACGTTCCGAAACATCTTAAGTCTGGCCCTGATGCGCGGCTCAGCGGGTTAGGCATCGTCCGGCAAAGTGAAGAGCCGCTGGTTTGATTCCTGGTCAGGGCACGTGCCTGGGTCGGTGGCCCGATCTCCTGTTGGGGGCAGAGGAGAGGCAACTGATGGGTGTTTCTCTTTGCACTCTCTCTCTCTTTTTTCCTCCCTTCCCCTCTCTCTGTAAATAACTTTTAAAAATCTTTAAAAAAAAAAAAACCTTAGGTCTGTTGAGGATCCAGTCCGGTGGTACCAGCCTCTTCCGGGAGAGCCTCCAAGCACCAGGAGAATGATGCATTAGTTCCCTTATTGCTGCCATAAACAAATCACCACCAACCTAGTGGTCTAAAAGAACACAGATGTGCAACTTTACAGTTCGAGAGATCAGAGGTCTGGTATGGGTTACAGGGGACAAAAATAACTTATGTGCTGGCTGTGTTCCTTTCTAGAGGCTCTAAAGGAGGATCCTCTTCCTACTCATGCATGTTGGTGGCAGAACACAGTTGCTTGTAGCTGTAGGACTGAGGTCCCCACATTCTTCCTGGCCGTGAACTGAGGGCTGTCCCCAGTTTCTAAAGGTCACTGCATTCCTTGGCTCCTGGCCTTTTCTCCATCTTCAAAGCCAGCACAGGCAGGCAGGCAGAGTCCTCAGGTGGCATCTCCGAGACGACCATCACCCGCCTTCCTTGTCTGTCGTCCACCATAAGGACTCCTGCGATTACACTGGGCCCACCAGATAATCTTCTGTTCCGACGCGCCTAACGTGAATCGCAGCTGCGAAGTCCCCTCTGCCATGGGAGGTAGCTACTCACACATTCCAGGGACTGGGGCGTGGGCATCTTGAGGAGGACATGATTCTCCTGGCCACACCACCCTAATTTAAAATGAGGGAAACTGAGGCTCAGAGAAGCTAAATGACTTGCCCAAGGTCATAGAGTAAATGGCCAAACCAGGCCTCAAACCCAGGCCCCTGCCTCCCCGTCCACTCTTGCTGACATTCCAGCGCCGGCCACGACTGCAGTCTCTCCCTCGCCCAGCGTGTGCACCAGGGGAGACCCCCAGCCCCCAGGCTCGGGACCGGACAGACGCCCTCAGACACAGAAGATGCCGTGTGAGAGGTCAAGGAGCCTTATTTTCTCTACAGGGAATGGCCCGAGCACCCTAACTGGGTTACAGATAAGAGAGGGACACTGAAAGGTGACCAGATTTGAGGCCTAGTTGCCACACTAAGAACCAGGGAGAATGGGGTTCAAACATGACAGGTCACTTGCACCCTAAAACTCTCACCCACCCTCAAGTGTGTGACCCTGCCCATGTCCACACATGCTGCTGCCTCCTAGGACAAAGGGGACCATTGTCCCTTTGGGTTCCAGAGGCACAAAAAATGGGGGACACCCCAATCAAACCCTTGGCAGGACAGTGGAGTTACTATAGAAACCTAAGGCAGCTCTTCTCTCCTGGTGTCACAGTCTTGCTACATGGAGCCCCACGGCCTGATCTGTGTCCACGGCAACCTGAGCCAACCAAGGACCTTGAGCTCGCTGCTCAAGATGCATCAAAAACAAAGCCTCTCATAGTGAGGCAGCAGACAGGGTGACCTAGTTGTTTGGGAGGTGACAGCCGTGAGGCCCCTCCCCCCAAAGACAAGGGACCTGTTGCGGTACCCACAGGTGACAAGTGGATGCCCCCCAGCACTGCTGCCTGGCCTAGGTAGGCCCTTCGGATCCCACCTGGGCTCCCCCTTCCCTGGCCAACATCCCACCCAACCTGTGACTGCCTCCCAGCGTTCTAGGCGTTGTCCCTTCAGGCCCAGACACAAAGGCTGGCCTGTGTAGAAAGAAACAAGCCTTTTGGGAGGCAGACGACCAACTCCTCACCCCTCGGGGAAGCAGCCACAGCAAGAGCTAAGCTTGACACAATATCCAGGCACTGGGTCCCGCAGGCATCACGGGACACCACACAAAGGCCGGGAAGGATCAGACAAAGGCGGGGAGCGCAGGGTCCCCCTTGAGCTTGTTAACATGAATCAGGAAACAAGAGCCCTGCTGAGGAGGTTTTGGGGACATGTGTGTTCCGATACCCAGGGCCTAAAGCCAACCACACCCCTAGAGACCTTCAGCTCTCGCCTGGCAGCTTTGCTCTCCATCCCGGCCCCTGGAGCCCTGGCAGCCTCAGCTCCGCAGGGGACACTGAACCTGTGTCTCTTCAGCAATCACCCGTGTCACCCAGCAAAGAACGCAGAGGAGAGCTACAGCTGTCCTCCAGGGATGGGGACTGTAGGTCTGAGGGTTCCTTCCAGACACTGGAAGTCAGGATTCCGGCTCAGTGTGGAGCATTTCCCAGCTAAGGAGACACCCCTAGCCCCCCAGGAAGGGCCCTAGGGATGGAGGAGCAACAAATTCCCCAGGCTAAGAAAGGGAAGGGGCAGAGAAGCAGCAGGGAGAACAAGAAAGCCAGTCAGTCCACAAGCATTTATGGATACAGTGATAAGGAAAGGGGCCCTGGAGTTGCATTAAAAAGCAAGGCACTAAACCGCCCTAGCCTCCAAGTAGGAAGGGCACCACCACCTGAGAATCGGCTGGGCACACCAACCGCCGACAGGGAAGGATGGCCCCGTGAGAAAAGTGCTTCCAGCAGCCGAGCCGGCCCCAGCAGGAGGCAGGCAGAAACACGCGTGGCCTTGAGCTTGGCAAAGCCAACAGGGCTAGAGAAAGCAAGCATGACAGGCTGCCCGGTGACAACAGGCTTTGTTTTCCCCAGAAGCCAGAAAACATTTCAACACAAGCACGCATGCAAAGAAAGGGGCAGTCCCAGCCAGCAAGAACGGCTGAGCACCCAGGACCTACCCACAGGGCAGCCGGCCAGCGGGCTCCCGAGGCCGGCCAGGCCCGCTTCTCCACACTCCCACCCAGCGCCAACCTCAGCTCGAGCATGGAGGCAGGAGCCCAGGTCAAAGTCACGATGAGTTTCGGAGGCAAGATTTAAATACATTTTATTGTTACAAGGGGGGGGGGTCCCCTACCGAGCGAGGCCTTATAAACCGAAATCTGTGGTCCCAGAATGTCACAATGGAGAAATCAAGAGGTTATGATTGCAGAAGAGGTCACTGTAACTGAAGGACGTGGTCCAGGGGAGGCCGGCCAGGAATGTAGCAGGCATGACCAGGACAGGCCGGGGTGGTCGGGTCACAGGGCGAGGGAGAGGGCAGCCCCTTCACTCCCGCTTCTTGTAGCTCTCCAGGTGAGACAAGACCCAGCCGGCTGGCAGGAGGATGCACAGGAAGCAGGAGGTGAGCCCAATGGCGAGATCCTACACAGAGCACAAGAGAGAAGGAAGCCCCCGGGTAAGGAATCCCCCAGACTTCTGGCTGTCTGACCAGCCTTCCCAGGCAGCCGAAAGCCCCCTCAGTGAGTGAAGACTCAGGCTCCAGAGGGAAGAAACACAGCAGATCCAAGGCCCACTCTAGGCCTTGAGGTAAAGGGTCGGGTACGGAAGCAGGGGTCAGCCAGGGTTAGAATCGATGGAGAAATCCACCATCATTTAATAAAGTGAAGGGACAGGAACAAGGATTTAAGTCTATCTGTAGCTGGTCTGTTAGGTCCCAGAAACCTTTGCATGGGCTGATAATGGTAAAAATACACCTCCCCTTCCTTGCCTTAAAAATCCCTCCCTGCCCTGGCTGGCATGGCTCAGTGGACTGAGCACCAGCCTGCAAACCAAAAGGTCTGAGGTTCAGTTCCCAGGCAGGGCAGGTGCCTGGGTTGTGGGCCAGGTCTCCAGTAGGGGGCGCAGGAGAGGCAACTGGTCGATGTTTCCTTCCTCCCTTCCCCTCTCTCTAGAAATAAATAAAATTAAGAAAAAACAAAACACCTCCCTTCCCATGTCCTTTTCAGGAATGCTATGGAACCTTTGGGGCTGGGGTAAAAGGCTTTCTACAGCCATTTCCACATTCCCAATAGTAGTTAAGGTCATAGCAAAACGTGGAGTCGCACTTGAGCTCCAATTCCTTCTTTGCCACTGAAAGGTGTGACTTTTGACAAATCAATACACGGCTCCTAAATTTCAGTTTCCTCAACCATGAAATGGGGATAATGGCCTTTTCCTCTGGCGTCCCCGGGAGGACGGAATGAGACCGGCCCAGCAGCGTTAGCTCGGCGCCTGGCACACAACAGGCACTCGGCGGGCGTCAGTCCCCAGGCGCAGCGACCCGCCAGCGATCTCCCGGCTCGGCTCTCGGCTACAGGCCTGCTAGGCTGGGTTCTGCAGCCCGCATCCAAGGCCGGGTTCTGCCACTGAGGCAATGAATAACGGCGCCAAACAGGAGACCGCTGTCATTACGGGTTAAACCCTGCCACGTTTCTGGGAATTACAAAGGACCTGTTGGGGATTCGCTGCCTCCTACCCTAATAATTAAGAGCGGTAGCAATTACCATGGTCACTAACAAATGCCACCCCATTACTTCCTATCACACCACTGCACTCTCAATAGCTTCTAAGTGCTCATCAAAGCACCCCCACGAGCCGACTGACAGTCTGTGACCTGAGGTCCTGGGGCTGACTGACAACGACTGTGGCCCGGACACTGTCCTCCGCACCCTCCAGACACGCCCAAAACAGCACGGCAGCTCTCGAGAGCAGCGAGGCGCAGGGCCCTCTCCGAGCCACCGAGGTCTGGTGCGCCAGACCCGGCCGGCCCCCAACCCGCCGCGGGACTCCCGGGCCGGCCCGCTCCTCACCATGGTCCTGAGTTGCTCCCGCGGAGGCTTGGAATAGATCTGGGCACGCGGCACCAGGAGCCGCCGGGCCTGGCCCGTTAGGCCCCTCAGCAGCAACGGCGTCAGCGCAGACATGACCGCACGGAACTGACTGCAGACAGCTACCAGTCAGAGCCCAAGGTCGGGAAGTCAAAATGGCGGACCCGAACGGAACTTCCGGAGCCAGAGAGGCCGGAAAAGGGAGGCCCGGAAATGTCCCGGAAATGACGAAAAGCTACACCTCCCGCCCTCCCTTGTTAATTTTTGGCGCGTTCCTCAAAACAGCCAATCGACGCCATCCTGTAACTGATGAGCGGGGCATAGAAGGACGTCCTTAACCATTATGCCCCGCCTCTAAGGCGCCCTATCTTCATGATTGACACCGCCGTCACCCTATCACATAAGTCAGAAACCGGGATGGCACTCTTGACTCCTCCTTCCATTCATACAGTACTCAAATCTCTCTATTCAGAAAGCCCCACTCTCCGCCAAGCCTCCATTATTTCTGGCCAGAACGCCTGATACTAACCTCCTAAATGAATTCTTCTCATTTACGCTTATCCTCTTTAATTCCAGTGTCCACGCAATGGCAACCTACCTTCCTGCCTTCCTCTCTTCCTCTCTCCATCATTTCCTTCCTTCTTTTTAAACATAAATCTAACCAAATCATACACCTGCTTAAATTTCAGTGGCTCCCATTGCTTACTAGACCAAGTCCCAATTTCTGGAGGTCATTCTCCAACCTCATCTCTAAATACTCCACACCTTCTTTCTTGTTCACTGGTCCTCCCTCTCTCCACCCCACACTACCCCAAGCCTTTTGCTTCTTTGTATCTTTGTATCTGTTGGGTTGGCCAAAAAGTTCCTTTGGTTTTTTCCCCATAGGATGGCTCTAGTAGTGCTTAGTTGTCTTTAACTTCATTTGATACAATTTTGTTATATTGTATTGTGACGACTGTCACATCAGTGTGCATTTTTTTAAAAAGGTTTTATTTATTTTTAGACAGGAGAGAAAGGAAGGAGAGAGTGAAACATCAATATGTGGTTGCTTCTCACACGCCCCCTACTGGGGAACCCGGCCTGGAACCCAGGCGTGCGCCCTGACTGGAGAATCGAATCTGTGACCCTTCGGTTCCCAGGCTGAAGCTCAATCCACTGAGCCACACTATCGGGGGCCTGCATTTTTTTAAAAACATCAAAATTAGTGAATTTTTGTGCAGCTATTTTAATATTGGAAATGGAAAGAAAATATGCAACATTTTTGGCACACTATGTTTTATTATTTCAAGAAAGGTAAAAACACAACTGAAACACAAAGAAAGATTTGTGCAGTGTAGGGAGAAGGCACAGTGACTGACTGAACGTGTCAAAAGTGGTTTGCGAAGTTTCTTGGTACTATTGACATTCTGGCCAAATAATTCTTTGCTGTGGGGCTGTCTTATGCATTGGAAGATGTTAAGTAGCACCCCCGGCCTCTACCCATTAGAATTCAATAGTGGGAAATGGCCAACATACTCAAAATATCCAAATCAATAGTTACTGGTGAAAATTAAAAACATGTCTTTCATTTTACCAGAAACAACCAGAGCTTTTTGGCCAACGCAATACCCAGAACACTTTTCAACTCTTATCTAGCCTTCCTTTTTCACCTCTCTTGTTTGCAGGCCTCCACTTACTGATACAGTTTACTTTATTCAACAAATATTTACTAGGCCCTACTGTGTTCCAGGAACTGTTCTGGACCTGCACTGAACAAGGCTCCCTAATCACAGAATTGACGTTCCTGAGGGGAGAGACAATAAACGAGCACCTAGTGAGAAGCGGCTGAGAGTGCGGCGGTGGGACAGAAAGCAGTGGGTGGCACTTGGTCAGTTTTCACTGGCCACCCCAGGCCCTGTGCCGCCTCTGTGCCCAGCAGCCCCTGTGATAGCACCACCCGTTGAGTCGGTGTCCATCCCTGCACCGGGAAACCAGCGGAGGGCAAAGTCTGTCTGGTTCACGGAAGTCTGTCTCCAAGGGGCCTGGCACGCATCCAGCACTCAGACATTTGTGAATGGCAGTGGACCGAACAGCAGGTCTGAGGCCGATGGGAAGGGGGTGAGGAGCTGCCACTGAACTGAAGCAGGCCTCGCCTGTGCAATCTCATTCACTCTCCACAGCAAGGTCAGGAGGGGGATGCTATTATTTCACATTTTTTTACAAAGGCGGAAATAAACCTGGAGAACTGGGTGACCTGCTGAAGGTCATGCAGCTACAAGGCGGCCTGGGCAAGATTCCAGAGCAGGTCTATCTGCTCCAAACCCCACGCTCTTAACCATCACACAAGCTGCTATGCAGGAGAGTTTCCAGAAGTTCCAGTTTTGATACTGTGGGCAATAGGATCCAGGGCTGCGTCAGGGGTGAGGTGAGCCGGGGTGGCAAGGGACTTGGAAAACAGGGGCTTTGGAGAAAACTCTGCCCCACAGGGGCAGGGGGGGAGGCTCACCGAAAGGTGGCAACAGACCTAGAATAGGAGCCCCAAAGGGCGGGCTGTGCCTGAGCTTCCTCTGGAGGAATGGGCTCCTAAATGAGCTACCCAGGGCCCTCCCTTGCCCCTCCCCCACCCTCCCCACCACACTCATGGCCATTGGTAATGGGCAGCGGTCTGAGCCCAGCCCCACCCCCACCTACCAGGCTCCCTGCCTTCACCCTGACCCAGGCTCTGGCAAACAGCCCAGGACAGATTCTTCCAAATCCCTCCTTCCCCATCTCGAAGGGCGCAGACTAGGGGCACAGGGCTGGGAGGTCCAGCCCCAGCTGCCTGCCACTAAGAAAAGGGAAGGACAGGAACCTCCCTACTGCCTTACTGGGCTTTGTCAGGCATTTGTCCTGTGAACAAAGAAATAAGTCCCAGATCACAGCACAGCCAGCCAAGAGGCCAGAGGTGCTTGAGGAAGAACTGGCCTTTCTGTGGTTCCCTGGGTTGCTCCCTGGGCATGTACACTCACCTCCTCCACCAGGAGCTGGAGGAAAAGGAGCAACCATCTGCGAAACAGGAACGTCGGTTCCAGAGCTTTCCTCATGGCCCCTGAGAGATGTGGCTTCTCTCAGAGACACCATCGGGAAGCAAGAGAGAGGTTGGCAGGGGTCAAGTACAACTGCCAGGGCCGGGGTTGCACCTAGGTCTGTTGGGTCAATACTGTCGTCTCTGCTGTGCCCCCAGCACCCCAGCAGCCCCCACCCCCAGAAAGCAGAGACAGGCCTTTAACAAGAGAGGAGTGAACGCGGCGGCGCTTTATACAACCAAACACCATATGGAGTGAAAATGAACCAACTATAGCTGCGGCAAGAATGGTTCCCACAGACGTAACGTTGAGTCAAAGAGGCCAGGCAGGTAAGAGCAGACTGTGCAGTCCTATTTATATAAAGGACAGCAGGCAGGACTAAGGGGACAGGTAGTGGGGGGCCTGGGGGAAGTGGGAAGGCATAGGGATGGTGGGAGGGGTGTGGTGACACTTCTGGGTGGTGGTTACACAGATGTGTTCCCTCCATGATATGTCCATTGCGAGCGGCTGGACAATCACAGTATGCACACGCTTCTGTATGCCTGTTATGCCTCAGTTACAGCAGCTCTACGACAGACAAGAAAAAAAAAAAAAAAGCAAGGAATACCACGTGATTTTTTTTTTTTTTTAAGATTTTATTTACTTATTTTAGAGAGGGGGAAGGGAGAGAGAAAGAGAAGAAAAGAAACATCAATCCGTTGCCTCTCTCCCAAGCCCCAGCCCGGGATGGAACCCACCACCCAGGCATGTGCCCTGACCGGAAATTGAACCAGCAGGCAACCTTTTGCTTTGCAGAACAGCACCCAACAAACTGAGCCACACCAGCCAGGGCTGATCTTGTTTTTCTAAAACAAATAATATCTAGAGAGATAGATATACATAGATAAAAGGCTGGGAGGACATACAAATGGTGACCAGTGGTGTTGTCTAGAGTGGAAATTTTTTTGTCTTTTTCTCCTGTATTTTCCAAGATTGCACACTGGGCGCTTCTTACAGCATTAGAATAAGCAAGCAAGAAGAGGGGTTTCGCTGGTCCAATGAGGGAGGTTTGCCCATGGGTGACAAACTCCCTGGGATGTAGGGACTTTGAGCAGGCTGCCAAGGTTCTCCCCTAACACCCTGACGACCACTCTGCTCACTCTTCCACCCCAGGCCTACCCACCACGCTTGGATTGCTGGGAGTCTCCCCCTGCACTGGAGGAGGCCTAGAAGTCCCGGCCTGGGGTCCTGGTTCTGACCCGAAGGCTCAGGCTGTCCCTCCACTCTCCCTTCCCTGAGTGGGGCAGTAGGAACAGACCTCAAGCCTCAGGGATGGTAGGAGAGCTGGTCCCTACCCTTGAGACCAGCGTCAGGCCAGGCCCCCAGGCCCCCAGGCCCTTGTGTCATACATGGGCTGGGGAGACCCCAGGGGCCCCCCACCAAAACTGACCCCCCAGCCCCACTGGGGGCCAGCCCAGGCCTGACTCTATTTAAGGCTGTGGTCCAACAACTGCTCCGTCCAAATATGGAGCTTGTGAGTCCCGGGGAGGGGCCGAACCCCAGCCCTATGGGGCCAGCAGGTAGAAATCCCTTAGCACCTCCCCCCTCCCCCTGCCACACGCACATTTTCTAGAGTTTACCACCTCCCAGAGCATCTGACACAAAGCTGGTGTGAACCTGAGCTAGGGGTCTCCAGTGTCCCCACTGGCCTGGCCTTTCCTGGCATGTCAAGGGGGTGCCAGGCACTGAGCCCTGGGGCTGGCCAGGGGAAAGGTGGCAGGCGAAGGAGCCCACCTAGGACTCTCACGGAGAGCAACGGCAACCTCTCTCTCAGCCTTGGGGGCCTGTCTTCCTGGGGTGGGAGTAGCAGTAGGAGCCCTTGTAGAGTTTCAGGAAGGGCCGGTGTCCAGAGGAGGAGGGTTCAGGAGGGGTGGGAGTGGGGAGGGGGGTGGGGTTGGCCGCAGGTCCAACACTCATTTGCTGGGTTGCTTCCCTTTCCCTACATGAGCCTTGGCTCCACCGGCTGCAAAATGGGGAAAGTCTTGCAAAGTCCAGCAAGAGGAAGGGACAGGAGGGGCTGCCCCCGTTAGAAGGGCTGGGCCAGCAGGGGGGCTGCGAGGTCCCCGACACAGAGCAAGGAGGCCCTGGGGGGCAGGTGGGGCTGGGGTGACGTAGGGTCCTGGGGCGGGGTCTGCTCTTCCTGGAGCACGGCTGTCCCCAGGCTCCAGAAGTCCAGGGGGTTGGGCCTGGATGTGACTGTCCAAAGAGGGACCTGGAGGAGGTGCAGAGGCGGGCGGGGGAGGCGCAGCTCTCCCCAGCGGGACACAGCTGTCCTGCAGTCCTGGCCGGAAGAGCCCGGGTCCTGTAGTCGTGGGAAGGGAGGCTGCCAAGGCCCAGGGAGGGTGTGGGCTGGGGGCGCCTGCCCACAGGGAGGCGGGTGGTGGTTAACCCCTTCCGGCCTGCAACCACAGCCAGCGGCCATGTGTGACAAGGACTAGATTGCCTCACTCATGTGTGACAACAACTCCGGCTGGGCAAAGGCTGCTTCACATTGGAAGGGAGGGTCCGCACACACTCCAGAGCTGACAGTCAGGTCTCCAAGTCCGTGTGCCGCCACCCTCCTCCACGCCAGCCCCTGTGGTACAGATGGGTAAACTGAGACCCAGAGAGGGACAGGGCTGCTGGGCGGGGCTGCTGGGCGGGGCCACCTCCCAAGCACACCCAAGGCCTCCCCTGCCTGTTGCCCCTGGGGGTGCCATGGTGGGCATGGGTCAGAAGGGCTCACGTGGGCAAGAAGGTGCCCGGCAACCTGTCATCCTGACACTCCAGTGCCCCATGGAGCGTGGCATCATCACCAACTGGGACAACAGGGAAAAGATCTGCCACCATGGCTTCTGCAAGCTGGGTGTGGCCTGGGAACAGCATGGGCGCTGCTCATCAAGGCCCATACTCAAGCCCAAAGCCAACAGCAAGATGACCAAGGTCATGTTCAAGGCCTTCAGCCTTGCTGCCGTGTGGGTGGCCATCCCCGCGGGTGTGGCTGCAGCGCATCCCTGGCTGCACCGTGAGGACCGTGCCCAAGTCTCACCCCTGCCCTGCCGCGACCCCACATCCAGACCCCTGTGTATTTTTGGCCCCCAGCCTGGACTCACAGCTCCAAGCCCCTCAGGATCTCTCTGCCTCCAGACCTCTCTGGCCAAGGCCCAATCCCCCAGAGCAGCTGCAGCCGTGTCCAGTTCTGCTCCCTCACCCTGGCTCAAGCTGTGGCCCCCCAACCCCATTCCATGGGAGGCTCCAGGCCCTTCTCCACCGGGCCCCTTCCTTCAGAGCTCCCTCTCTCCAACCTCGGGGTGGCCAGCACAGAGCACAGTGCAGTGGGGTCCCACCTCAGTCCAAGCAGGGCAGCCCTTCCTCGTTAGCCCGTAGCAAATGCTCATCTTCATATAATTAAACCTCACAGCAGGGCTTCCCAAAGTTACAGGTTCACCTTGTCCACTTGTGCACAGGCAGAGTCAAGGAAGGGGAGCGTGTGCACGCACGTGCGGAGGGCGGGCTCCCACAGGTGCCGCTCTCCCTGCCCAGCCAGGCGACAGGATGCAGAGGGCCCGGGCCAGAGAGGGCGAAGCTGGGCAGCAGGCGCTGGAGCCAGGGCCGCCGGCAGAGGGCAGAGGTTGGGGGCACAGCCCCCCCCCCCCCATTCATACCCTTTCCTCCCCACCTGGCTGAGCAGGAGACCCTGCCGAGACATCAAGGAAAAGCTGGGGTGCGTGGCCCTGCACTCTGAACAAAGATGGGTACGGGGCTGCCCCCTCCTCCCCTCCGGAGAACTACAAGCTGGCAGCAGGCGCTTCCTGTCCCGAGACCCTCTTCCAACCCTCCTTTGCAGGCAAGCCTTGCCAGGCTGCCACTGCTCGATGACAGCCTTCTCAACGTGTCCCCATCCTTCGCGGCAGCCCCCTGCATGAGAAGTAGCCCCTCTCAGGTGAGAGATGCCTGCGGTCGGTGCCGGGCCAGTTCTATCCCTCAGGCCCGGCCCTGAGGGGGGAGACAGGGACAGGTGCCTCCGCCGAGAGGACCAGCAAGACAACCTACAGGTCCGTCAGGGAGTGTGGCATTGGCACCCACAGAGACCTGGACACCAACATCTTGTCAGGGACACAGCCACGTTCTGGGGCACTGCGCCGCCCCAGCACCATAAAGATCAAGGTGGGGAGGAGGAAGGGGGCCTCCCATTCGCAGGGTGGGGGGGGGCAGTGGCTGCTGGGGCAGGAGGCTCTTCCTCAGGAAGCAGGAACCCAGCTGCACCCACCTGTGCGGGGGAGGCAGCTTGGGAGGGAAGGGGCTGAGCCGGCCGAAAGCCGCTCCCCTGGCTCGGTGCTGCATCTCACAGAGCTTCCCTGAGCTTTGGGTCACCTCACCGGTTTATGGGCTAATGCCACCTGCCCTGGGCTCACATCCTGGCTCTGCCACAGACCCGCAGGACCAGGAACAAGTTGCTTTCCACTCTGGGACCCTCGGCTGACCTTTACATCAACAGCAACATTGGGATGGAATAGGTTGTCGGAAGCATTAACATGAGCCGACACTTCCCCGGGCCCAGCACACAGGAGCACCGGGCATGAGCGGTCACTGGTGCTCCTGGACACCAAATGACCTATGGCAGGGGCTCACCAAATGCCTCCCCGGTCACAGCCAACAATGTGTCTGCTTCGGGCTGTCCGGTCTGCGAGGCTCCTCCTCAGCCCCTTCCCACCTGCCAGGCCCGGGTCGCAGGCACTGCAGCAGCAGACTGGGCTGCCCTTGGAGAGGAAGCACAAGGAACTAGAGTGACCCGGCCCTGCAAGACGGGCCACCTTCGGAGCCTGCAGCCAACCCCGCCTGGCGCCCAGGCTTCGTCTCCTGCAGAAACCAGCTCCGGCTCTGACCGCTCACCCAGCCACGGCCGGTGCCGCTCGCTCCCCCTGCTCGCTGACCATGGGCGTTTCTGCAGGTGCCACTTGAGCAAAGAAGCTCTAACGGCAGCTGGAGGGAAGGGTGGAGGCGGAGAGGCACGAGGCAGCCACTGTGGAGGACCCAAGGGGGCCCTGGCCACTCAGGGAGGTGGAGGGCGCAGAGGATGGAGGCAGGGCCCCACCCTTTCCAGCTCTGGCCGTTTACCCGCGGCAAGCGGGTGGTCATTCCAAGGTATTCCTGGCCTGGGATTAAAACAACCTTCAAGGGACAAGAAACTTTTTGTCTCATGAGAAATCTGTTGTAAGATTAGCCAGCCAAATGCTGTCTCCCTTCCCAAGGACGATGATGTCTTTCTTTGTGACTCAAAGACAAGACAGCTGCATGAGCCACCCCCGGCCCACAGGGCTGAGGCCACAACCCGCTGGTACCCGCTGGGCAGCTACTAACTCTGCTCCTCTTTCCCCAGATAACTGGCCCTCCGGAGTGGCTCGGGAGTCCCACCCCAGCCGCCCTCCCCACCCCGCGGCAGGCACGGGGGCCACGCAGGAGCGCGGCAGGCCAGCCCCCTCAGTGTCCACAGGGAGTGCTCCTGGGCCCTGGCTCCCGCCCTCCCACCAGCTCGCCCTGGGCCAGGAAGGGCAGGAGCCTCACCGCCTGGGAGAGAAGCTGTGCGGCTGGCTCCATCCGTCACACGTGAGGGGCTGGACGGAGCCTCCCTGGGCTCATAACTTTCCTGCTCTGTCAGGCCTGACATGAGTTACCCCTCCTTTGAGCCTTTGCCTTTTGTGAGTGAAGGGAAGTGGGAGCTGGAATCTTTTTAAGAGACAAAGAATATTCTGAGTGACCCAACCAAGCAAAGTGGGGAAGAAACGCTGACACTCTCATCTGTTCAGCTCCCACACAGAGCCCTGAGATTTATGTTCAGCCGCAGATGTCAGGTGTCACGACGCCTGGCTTGGGACTCTCTCCGGGAGGCAAAGTAGGCGCCTTGCAAAAGACCTCTGACCTCTACCCAGGGCTTCTGGGAAGTGGCAAAAACACATGTATGGGGTCTCCGTTCCCACCTCTGGCTGCTCACCCCAGACTCCTGAGGCCCCTTTCACAGGACGGGGTGTGGGGCTGGCGCAGCTACGGGCCTCCCAGGGTGTAGGCCCAACAACGGACTGTCTGAGGAGCTGGGAGCCCCCGGAGCACCCGCTGCCCGTGGCACCCCAGCATCAGGCGCTATCCCAGCAGCTGAACAAAGTGTCTTTTATTCGTGACATACAAATACAACCAATGCAAAAAGAGATCACTTTTTCCCTTTGATTCCAGTGATAACAAGTTGCTAAAGAAAAAATATATCAAGTTTATCTTTAGTTTCCTCTAAAAAACCCAGAAGGGGTTAAAAACCATACACGTCATATGCACATTTGACATCAAGAAAAATAACCTGAAATAGAGTGAATACAACTAAAAGAAAAATCTTTAAAAATATTTTAATGTGCCCCGAACAAACAATGAACAGAGGAGCCTGGCAGAGGCCTGCTGTTCCCCCTAACTGCGACCGGCGGGAGGGTGCCGGCGGGCCCGGGCACTGCACAGGCTCAGCGCCTCGCCCGCCCCAGCCCTGACCTTCCCAGCAGCCCCTCGGGAAGCGGCCGGTGGAGGCTGGACGAGCAGAGGCTAGACCCAGCGGCCACCAATGGCCTCAGTGCCAGGTGTCCAGTGACTAGAGACAACATACACTGAACTCGCCTCATGTGGGATTTACACTGGGGTTCCTTTTGGTCCCCTTGAGCGGGAGGTATCAAAAATCCATGATCTAAGACAATAAATAATTACCATTCTGTGTTCTTTGAGAGACAGGGATCAGAGGAAACACTCTTGCTAAACATGCTTCTGTCGGTGCGTTATTCTCAGAAGCCCACCAGTGCCCTCCCAGAAGCTGAAGCCCCACCTCGGGAGCTAGCAGGACAAGGACGCGGGTGGGCTTGTTCCAGTGTAAAGCCACGGGGCCCTCTCCAAAGGAGTGACCCAGCCCACAGCTGGCAGGGTCAAGAGCAGTGCAGAGCACTCAGCAGGGGCGGGGCTGGGTAGAGGCGGCCGTGTGCACAGACCGCACAGGCAGGGACCTGGGGAGAAGCAAGAACAGCTCCGGGCAGACCCGTCAGCACAGACGCCCGAGTCAGGGCAGAGGGCGGGCTGTGGAGCGGACTCAGGTCCGAAGGACCTCCAGACCCCCAGACCCCCAGGACAGCAGCTTCACAAAGGCTAGGACTCTAAGACACTCCCTAAGGCAGAGCGCAAGGATGTCCAAGGGGAGGTGGTAGGTGCTTTCTCCTGGATGAGGATTTGGTCAGTATTTTCCCTGGAGTGGGGAATGAGGCCTAGAGGCCAGGGAGTGCAAGCTCTGACCCCACACCCTCTCTATCCCGTGAGGGGAGCGGAAAGCCCTCTCCATGCCGCCCCCTGCCCGGCTCCAGCCTGTTGCCACAGGGGCGTCCCAGATAGGAGCAGCTGCTGCAGCCACCCGGGGCATTCCTGCTGCCAGCGAGGACGGCGGCACCAGTGCCTCACTGAGGCAGCGAGGGGCGAGGCTGGGGAGTGCAGGCCAGGGGCCTGCTGCTGGCTGGGGGCTCTCTGAAGAGGGAGGGACGCGCCACCAGCAGAGAGCTATCAGCACCAAGAGATGAGAGGAACCGGCACTGACCCTGCCGGGAAGGAGAGGCCCTTCGGGGGGAAGACGAGGTACTTACTCCCTGGTGTTATTTCCCCCTTGAGAGTAAGAGCAGAGGTATCCAGGCTCGTGGTAAGAGGCCGAAAGGAGAGCAGTGGGGGCGACGGAGAGGACGGGCAGGACCTCTGGCTTTTTCCTGTGAGTGGAAAACTTGAGCCACTGCCACGAGGCCAAAAGGTGAGGCTTAGAATGCAGCAAAGTCCAAAAGCCCCAACAAGCATGGCAGTCCCACTCGACAGCTTGTTCCTGGTCCTCTCGGCCCCTCTCTCACTGACAGCGACAGAGAGAAGGACGTGGCCTTCTTCCCAGAGTCGGCTGGTCTCCTGGAACGACTCTGCTCTTACTGTGGATCCATAAAAGCACAGCTAGAAGGAACGTCCTTGCTTCCCTGTGCTGCAGCACAAAAGGCCTTCCCACGGTCTCCAGCGGGGCGTTCCGTCCACGAAGCACGGTCTCTCTGAAGCCTCTCTGTGCCCAGACCTGACACCACATCCGCTCCTCTTTGAGGACCAGCCAGGCCCTGACCCAGGGCTCCAGGACTTTCATAAAGGTGGGTAGAAACACTCTACCTGTCCAAACGTGTGTGTGGAGGGAGGGAAGGGCTGTCAAGAATTCAGCTGCAGAGAAGCTGGGGAATCTCACGCTCAAGGGCGCAAGGGCGGAGCGAGGAGGCAGCCCCCCTGTGAGGACGACTCTGTGCCTCAGCCCCCCGGCTCTTCCCTCCGCATCCGCTCCGTCCCGCGCCCTCCTTGCACTCTGCTCTTCTGGGAGAGAGGAGCGGGGCCGCTCAGACCACTCCCCACCCCGGGCTCTCGCTCTCAGTGGGCAGCCTGGCACGTGCGGGGCAGAGGAGGCCACAGCTCCGAGGGCACCTGGCAACAGCGTGAGACCGGGGGAGAGGGCAGGCCTTGGAGAGAGGGTTCTGGCTCGGGAGCTCAGTGGCAGCAGCCGCCACAGTGCCCGCCCGCATGGGAATGCTGACTGTCCCCGAACTTGGTCCTCCGGCTCAGGATCTCGTAGGAGCAGTCCTCCCCACAGCAACCGGACATGCTGGGGGAGGAGTCATCGATTTCAAATCTGCAAGGCAGGCAGGAGGGAAGGGTTGGTTACGGGCCGACTGCCTTCCTCTCTGGCCCAAGAACTTCCCCACCAGCCGCACTCATGACAGCCTGAGAGTGAGGGTGCAGGAGACCCAGCCAGAGGGCATCGCACCCCTCCCCAACCCCCGCGGCCTCCGGGCCGGGCGCTTAGGCGTCAGGATGAACGGGGGCAGGGACCAGGAACAAAGCAGTGGGGCAGTCCCACACCAGGGCCCAGCTCCTTACTGCAAGGCCTCTCTGAAGAACTGGTAGGCGCCGTGATTGTGCTTAAACACCGTTAGCATAACCTTCTTCATCTGTGTGCTGAGACGAAAGCAGAGAGACAGGCACTGAGCTGCGCTTTGTTTTTCAGTGCCCCTGCCTGCCTCTCCCGCTTGCCCCCCGGAGGCACTCCTGAGCCCCAGCTCCAGCGGCCAGGGCTCCCTGTTAGGGAAGAAGCTGCACGGGCAGCAGCCCCCGCACGAGTGGCCTCTCCGCATCCCCATTATGCACTGAGGCGAATGTACAAAATCTGGGGTCACAGCAGGACACGGAGTATCTTGCTGAGAGGGTTCTAGATGCCTTTCTTCCAGAACCTTCCCTGGAGTCTCGTCCTCCACGGAGGCTCACAGCACAGTGGACACCTCAGAGGCAGCTCCTTCGAAGTACACGACACATGGGGTGGCCCTTACCTATTGGCCATGAGCTGCAGAATCTGGATGAGGAACTTCCCCAGGCCTTTCCGCCGCACCTTGCTTTCCAACTGCACTTCGTAGCTGCGGGGAGGAAGCAGAGACGTGAGCGTGAAGAGGCTGCAGGGCTGGTCGGAAGAGCCTGTGCCCCTGGCAGCCCACGGACTCAGACAGGCACAGCGGACTGAGCCACCCACCAGAGCGCCTAGAGCGGCACCAGCGTCTCCCCCCTGCACCGCCCCCCAAGCTGGGGCTCCTACCAGTACAGGACTTCATCCCCGCACTCCACATCAAACCGGAAGTGAGAAAAGGCAACAGGGACCGAACTGTTCTCCCAAGCAATGAGGTACCAGGCTCGGTCATCTGTCATTTCCTCCCGTTTTTCTCGGTCCTTCCAGCCCCACTCGCTTTGCTCATACCTGGGAAAGTACAGAGCAGTCAGGACCGGAACTCGGTGGAGAAGCGGCCGGCCTGAGAAGGAGACCCCTACGGTCAGGGTGTGCTTACATGGTCTGCATGTTGGTTTTGGTCAGGTCGAAGGCCCAGTCCACGGTGGCTGGCTCCAGCCCGGACACTCGCTTACACTCGATGGAGACGTTTAGCCTGAGAAGAGGCAGGGCAGCAGCTGAGGCCGGCTCCTCCGGCCCAGCGCTGCCTGACAGCACAGCGGGCCTGCTCTCCATCACCCCGCACAGCCAAGCCAGGCTGTGCCTCCCTGGGCGTGACTAGAGAAGGTGCCTGTGAAGGAACTAAGCCTCCGGGGCGAGACTATCAACTGTCGTCACAGGCCCACCAGCTGACCTCCAGTCCCATTCCTGCCCCACCCCCCACAGGGCGCTGACCAGACCCTGCATTTTCTGAAGTCCTGTCCTCTGCTACCTCTCTGTTCTCTCCACGCTGTTCTGCACTTTGTTATAAACACTCTGGTTCCTTAGTTCCTGCCGCAAGGCATTTTTCCTGTTTTAATTCTGAATGGATGCCTCACTGGGCTCTAGGGGACCCCTTCCTTCTGATCACCACCCTCCTTCGAAAGCACCTGGGTGGACCTCTGGCTCTCCAAAAAGACCTGGACCCACACCCCCTCTGCGGAGTGCTACCTGCTGCTTCTGCTGAGGACTCGGCAGGTGCTCTCAGCTGAGCAAACAGAGGGGACCAGATCCAACCCCATAGGGTTTCCCTAAACTAACCACTGCTGTAGGCGGTGCACTACCTTAGTCTGCTATGTTCTTCTAAATGAAATTAAGTAAATTATAGTTAAATGTTTTGGCCAAACTGCGAAATCACACTCTCTAGGCAGTGAGCGCCACATTCTGAAGGCAGCAACTCGAAGTCCTCGTGGAGCTCCCATACCGAAATCTTCAGTGGCCTTTGACATGACCCCTCAGAGGATGTTCCACCTCCACCTCTGCCAACTAGCATGCCATGTGAGCTGCACATTGCTCAGCCTTGTAAATTTGCAACTTCCTGGCTCAGAAAAGTCTGCTTTTCTGTGTAAACAGCAACCATGTAGCAGTCAGAAGTGCCCGAACACAGCACAGCGTCTGCCTTAGCTACCTGTTTTCCCAAGGGCGGTTTGCGTGTATGAGACACTCATGGCTAATCTGAGTTAAGTTCCTGAGTTAAGTTGAAGGTAGCATCTCAGCTACATAAATCACACAAAATCCCAGGCACTGCAGGAGCCTGCAGTCAGCTGGCAGCGACTGCTTCCGAGCCGTCCCGTATTTCTGGAAGTCAGTGGGAATGTGAACTATGGAACACTGAAAGCTATCATAGTCAGGGATCTCGAAACTATGTCACAGGCCTCCCCAGAAGCTGAATGACAATGCCACCAGAGGAACGGCTGCGTCTGATCACAGACAGAAATAAGAATGAATGCGTTAATGCAGCACTATGAAATTCAGACACAGCTGTGAAAGGCAAACACAGTGCTACCTACTAGTCTTTGCTTCATAACTCACATATTTGCATTTGTCTATCTTGTTCTTTAAAGCACTCAGACCAGCTGCTATTTACAGGGCTGGATACGCTCTCTTTGCTCCTTAAATCCACCTTGCAAGTTTGGCATCTTCACTCCATTTAACAAATTACAAAATAAAAAATGGGGCTTGCAGAGTATGACTGACTTGTCTAAGTATAGTTAATAAGAGGCACAGTTACGATTCAAACCCACAGTTGATTCTCTAAAACCATAACCCCAATCTTCCTCTCAGCCAGCGCATCTGTGGTCAGACAGATTCTGCTTCCTATTTTATATACCGAGAGGACTGAAAGGGGAGGCGGTTTTAATCCAGGTCCCATGGTAAACTGATCAGTAACAACGGCAACACCGATCTCGCTTGTAGCATGCGCCAGGCACCGCTGCGTCACATCTGATCCTCCTGATGACTCCATTAGGGACATACTCTTATTAGACCCCTTTCTGCTTAGACAATTAAGGCACAGAGAGGTTAAGAAATTTGCGCAGGGTCACAAAGCCAGTAAATGACTTTTAACACTTTTACTATACACTGAGGGAAAGAGCACTGGATTGGGAATGAAAAGCCCCCTCAGCTGCCAGAGAGAAACTCTAAGCTCGGAAACCTCATTCAACTTCTCGGAGCCTCAGTTTCCCCCTGTATAAAAGGAGATTAAGCCTAGATGAATTTTCCAGGGTTTCAGCTCTATGACTGTTGGTCCGGAGAGAACAACAAGTCCTAGAGACGTCAGCCTGAGACTACGCAACCTGTGCTCAGGTATGGCTCCCCTGTCACCCTGACTGGGGTTTTATACCAACAGGGTCCTGGCCATCATCTCTGCTTTTTCCCAAAAGAGAAGGATGGGAAAAATTTGCGGGGGAGGAAGCCTCCTCTGGGAGGGTAGATTTCTGAAAACACTCACGACGAAGCGAGGTGTTCCGAACACTTACCCGTTTCGATCATATTTCTTGAACACTGGGAAAGCCTCCAAAGGGTCTCCAAGCTGTGAGGGAAAGAATAGAGGAATGGCACATGCGTGGGGTGGGGTCATACACTCTGCCCTGAGGTCCCACGCTGGTCAGACCCTCGCCGGGAGGCTGAGCATCCTGGGCCCAGGAGCGCCCCTCATCCGGACTCTGCATCTGCCTCAGCTCTGAGACCACAGGTAAGAGGGAGGCTTGCGGGGGAGGCCAGAACATTATGTCAGCTTCGCTTGATGGGCCAAGGAGAGACTTTACTGGCCTGAACAGAATGCTGGCCTGGGGCATACAACCTGCTCACCACTCACCTACCCAAAGAAGGAGAGGCTGTGTACCTGTGTACTTCTGAGAAGCCCCCAACTAACCTCACCTGGTCAAAACCCAAAACTGAAAATCACGTCCCTGAGCCACACAATTTAGAATGTGACTATTTACTGAGTGCGCTACAAGAACAACAAGAAATGGGATACGAAGTGGGCAGGATGAGTGGCCAGAATCTCCCTGGTTCAGACTGAAAGCTGGGCCCATCTGGTGCTGACTCACAGCGCCTCCTCTCCTGACTGCGGCCACCGGAAACCAGGTGGCGGCATCTTCCAGGTCCCGGAGCAGCCTCTAGTACTTCATGGGCAGTCAGTAAATGTTTGAAAGAACAAATGAGAAAATTATACCACATTTACGAGGGAGGTTTCCTCTCCAAAATGAAAAAATCCTAATAAAAATTTCTCCAGACCCTGTGTTGCTAAGGAGATCCACAGAGAGGGGCAGCCAACTGCATTTGAATCCACATGTCCCTGCACACATGGGCCAACCTCTGGCCCCCTGTTAACTCTCCCAGGCTCATGCTGGCTCATTTTCCTCCGCAAGGAGGCAGCGGATATGGGTCGGTAGTAACACAACTCTGCCACAGGGTGGCGCCAAAAGAAGGAAAATTAAAAACTAAGTTGAGGTTCCAGGAGGAAGGGACTGGGGAGGAGGGGAGAGTCACCCTGTTGGCTGCGTCCACTTTGGCACAGACGGCATCCATGGCTGCTCGCTCCTCCAAACGCTTCTGCTTCTTCTCCTTTGCTTTGCTCGACTTCCTCTGCAACAGAGAAAAGCAAAGCTGGCTTGCAGAGCTGTGGCCAACCGAAGGGTCTGTCTGTCCCTGCGCCCACAGACCTGGCCTCCGCAGCAGAACTTCCAATCCTGGCCACCACACACTTGCTGGGGTGGGAAAGGCCCAGGCGGATTCCAGTCCTGAGACCTTGTGAGCGTCACTAGACATCGCGGTTTCCTCATCAGAAGAGTACTGGCCCTCGGGACTGCTGGGTCACTGTGAGGACCCAGCGAGGGCGTGAGACAGTGCTTGCGGCACAGCCTGGCCCCCAGCAGAGGCCTAAGGAGCACTCCCTCGCCCATGCCCTCCTAAGAAGGGACCAGCTAATTTTAGATTCAGGGCAGGATTCAGGGTGGAGATGGCACCTGAGGTGGCTGCGGACAGCTGTTCCTGAGCACGAGTTTATTCAAGGCCTTTTCAGAGTCTTCCTGCTTCAGGAGACAGAGCTCTGGGGCCGCCCCTCTGGGCGCCGGGCCCAGGGCGCAGGCTCTCTGGCTTCAGGAGACAGAGCCCTTCCCCAGAAGTGTTGCTCAGCCAAGGCCGACAAGCGGGAGGCCCACTGGGCACCTAGCAGTGACAGGGCAGAGTGAAGGGCCCCAAGGGGTTCACCTGGGGACAGAGGCCATGCTGACACGTGGTCAAGAAAGCCAAATTGCAGCCTCACAAGCAGCGGGGAGGAGCAAAGAGAGGCTGTGCTTGCACAGAGCGGCGAGCGGCCCACAGCTGCGTCCAGCACACATCCTGTTCTGAGGCTTGTGTGCAGCTCTCTCAGGCCTACCTGGACCTGCGTGCCCTCCTGTAAAAAGCTGGGAACACAGGGAGAGGGCCAGCTCCAGAGTCTGAGAGACCTTATCCAAAGCCTCTCTCTGCTCTTCAGTCCCTGAGGTCTTTGGGCAAAACACAGCCTCCCTTCCTCATCTGATGAGCGGGACCCTGAACACCTACCTGGACGTGTTAAGCCCGTGAGGGTTAACATGGCACGTTCTCAGTAAATGACAGATCTCATTCTCGCGCCCAAGGACCAGCACAGCATGCACATCTGGAGGTGCTCACCCACCCAGCTGAGTCCAGGGGCAGTTAAGAGGGCTCCGAGTCCACCAGAGAGAGGCTCTGCTACCTCCAATCACACCTTAGTGGACGCTGACTGGTCCCAGGAAAGGGGGAACTGAAAAACCAGCTGCTGGGAAAGTTTCTCAGGATCAATTCTATCCTCGGTTCCCCCAGGAAAGACACTGCTTAACACCTACTTCAAACAACGAGGAGGCAAGCGTTCAGGTGCCAGGGATTGCTCTTCTAGGTAACACTTGTCCAACACCAGCTATTTATTATCTGCAGCCGAGCGCCATGCTGGTAGCTAGGCTGGATCCCAGTTCTTACCTCTCTAGACAAAAGAGAACAAGCTGCCTTCATAATGCTGGCATCTGGACACAGAACTAGCCCTTCTCTACCACATACAGGTTTTAGAACAACCATCTTTTTCTTAAGGAATTTGGGTTTCCGGACAACACTGAGATATGCTAGGTTTGCAAAGTGCATTATCTGCTTCAATTCCCAGGGCAGGAAACATCACCTCCCTTCATGAGAAGAAACTGAGGCTCAAAGGGACGGTGTGCCTCAGTCCGAGTTCCCCTGAGAGTACACGGCAGAGGGGAGACTCAATCTCAGGGGCCGGGCCGCAGGTTCGGTGTTTGTTCCACCAGCCATGCCATCTCCCGCTGGGAGACCCTACATCAGTGTCAAAGAGCTTCTCAGCCCAGCCAAGGTTGAGATCAAGATGAGACCTCAAGAGCCTTCAAGGCAGCTATTCAGCAGTTCATTTCTCATTACGCTTTCTGGCTCGGTAACGGCTGGTATGACATGCCAACACAGTGCCACCCAGCTCCACACTGGGGCAGGGGCAAGGAACAGGGACACCTGAGACAGAAGGTCTCCAGGCCTGTGCGATGGGACAGAAAGAACGTGAGCTTTGGCATCAGTCAGGCCAGGCCAAGGCCCCTCTTGCTGCCCCTCTTGCTGCCCAGTGCATGACTTGTGAAAGCAACTCCATCCCCAGAAAAATGGGACTGCAATACTGGCCTCGCGGAATAGCTCTGCGGACAGGTCGGAGGTCAGCACACCTTTCGGCAGAAGCCAGCTCCCTTCCTCCACCCTGCATCTCGCTAGCTCCCTGCCAGCTCCCTCCTGACATGGTATGGAGCTGAAGGGTCAAAGGCGTGGAAGGGAGGCGTGACTCTGGGGACCCAGAGAGCCCTGACACGTGGGTTCCTTCCACAGGGTCTCATCTCTCTAAGCACAGGAGGGAAGGGGCTCCTACAGCAGAAAGGCCAGCCCGGGCCTCCAGGAGATTTATAGGCTCATTCATGCAGGGGAACAGGCGAGCCAGGCAGTCCCTGGAGTGAGGCTTGGGGCTGCCACAACGCCGGACTGCGGGTAATGAAAGAGCCCCTTAAGCGCTCTGCTGCCCGCTCGCACGGCGCGAGGCAGGCTGCAGCAGGCTGGGCCAGGCGGGCAGGGGGTCCCCTCAAACCTGGCACACTCTAGGAAGAGTGGCCTCCCACTATTCCGATTAGCTCGGCCCCGTGCTGTGGAGGTGAGGCTATCCTGCAGGGACACAGCAAGAGTCTCCTAATTAAAATGGGAAGTAAGCACAGTGAACAGTAATGCTCATTGTGGTTAAGTGTCTTCCCCAAGGGAGCTTTATATAATAAAGAGTGTGGGACTTTGAGTCAAGAGACCTGGTCTCTTTTTTGCTTCTCAGCTCTTCTACTTAGCAGCTGTGTGACTTTGGGCAAGTTATTTCATCTGTATTCAGCCAAGTCACTCAGTTTCTCTGAACCTCAATTTCCTCATCCATAAAATGGGACGAACAAGGACCCATGAGTCAGATGCTCTGCTAGTGCTTTAATAAAGATGACTTATTTTAATCTCCACTGTAACTCAGCAAGGTACATGTGCCCACTTCTCTGACGGGAAAACTGAGGCCAGAGCCGGTGAACAGAGCTCTTCCTATTACCGCCTCCCCCGCCCCCACCAGCCCATACACTCCACGAGGTGGGGGGCACATCTGCTTCACTAGCCAGTTTACACACCGTGCTCTGCAAACAGCAGGTGCTCAGCTCATCCCCGATGCATCGCCCAGACGGAAACCCAGGCCTGAAGCCTGGAGGCCGCACTCCCTCCACCACTGCATCAATTACATGTATGACACTCACTATAAAGTGCGACACAAATGTTTTCACATGCAGCCGCAAAACTCCTCCCCTTGCCATTCCTACCGAAGCGCCATATCTACACTCCATTCTCTGACACAGAGAAATTTAAAGAAACGAAAAACACCCCAGATGGGGACAGGACGCACCTTTCTGAAAGATATTTTGCATCTCCTAGATTTTCAGTGTTAATGTCCCCACCCTACAAAGTATCCAAGATCTGAAAAGAACCTCTGTTCTGGGCAAAGCCGGGGGCGGGGGGTACCGAAATTCTAATTCCCAAAAGACAGTGCACGCGTGGCAGTGCGGGTCGAAAGAACGGTGAGGGGAACGATGCTCGCTGGGGCCGCTCTCAGCCGGAGTCGGGCTGTCAGGAGCAGCAGGGCCCTCTGCTGCAGGGCGACCACTAGGACGACCTCCCTGGCACTGAAGTGGGGTGTCCACGGCCCCCACCCTGGAGGAACGAGGATAACGACAAGGTTCCAACTCTGTGTCAGGGAGGAAAACCCAAGTCTCTCTTTGGCAGCGGGTTTTAGGCCAGAGGAGACTAGGTAGGGGCTGTTTTGAGAAACACGTCTGTAAAGTGTGAGTGATAAGATTGGGGCCCGAAAGGAAGCAAGGACCACAGTATCTCTGAGGCCCCCGGCTTCAGCTCAGCCAACGAGGAAGTGTTCAACTGAATGGCATGCTACGCTTCTTGTTTTCCGCTCAGTCTACAGTGCCTGATGCCAGTGATACTGGGCACCCAGGTTTCATTTAGTTTCAACTAGAGCTGGCTCTGGGACCTTTCACCGAACTCTCCATTAAATATGTCAAAAGTCTCTAGACTGGATTTTCTACATATGTATACACAGTATCCAAAATTCCCTGCTGAAACATGATGAATGTGTTTTGACATGGATTACATGAAGTGCTTTGACACGAATTAGACAACTATTTTTGTCTAACAAATTGATTTGTTGAATCAATAACTATTTGAGTGAGGAAAAAACCCAGGTTAATAACGGTAGGGACAAACCCAACGAGTTAAAGTAAAAATAGCAGAACTCTATATTAGATACTGAACTAAAGGCTGAGAACACAGGCAAAAATAACAGCCACTGTTTAAGAGGCATCTACTTGGCTATTTACATCCACTATCTCATTTTAATCCTCACCCGATGATTGTTTTGTTTTGTTTTAAGAGAGGGAGAGAAAAAGAGAGCGAGAAAAACATCCATGGATTGCCTCCCATATGCACCCTGACCGGGGTTGAACCCAAAACCTTCTGGTGTGCGGAGCGACACCCCAACCAACGGAGCCACCCGGCCGGGGTCCACTACGTCCTTTCATCCCCACATCTGTCCTAAGGGGCAGGTACCATCATCCTCACCACACAGATGAGGACGTTCCAACTCACAAAGGCACGTCGCCGGCACAGTATCATGCTACCAGCTAGTGAACGGGACTGGAACTGAGGTAGTTTCAAAGTCAGGGCTCCCAAAAGGTGGGGGACATTCCAGGTAAAAACTACTACCATACCCAGGAGGAGCCGGTTACACTTTTAGGCGTGACGGACGCTCTCTGCCTGGGACTTAGAAAGGAGAACTCACGGACACATGTGAATAACCTCTGCCACCCTCCCATCAGCACGTGTCAGAGAAGGGCTTGAAGCGCACCCCGAGGCGGCCCTGCACGGAACAGGTGGCCGCGGCCACCACCAGAGCCCCGCTCCCTCTCCGCACAGCGTCCCCGTGCAAAGCCGCCCGCCGTCCGAAGACCGCTAACACCTCGGGCAACAATAAGCTCCACCTCAACGCACCTAGGAGGCCGTGGGGGCAGCCTGTGTTGCAAAGGAAGAGACTTTTAGAGGCAGGAGGAACCTGGTGGGGACGTTTCGAAAGAGTAGGGGAACCGGCTTTACTGGGAATCTGTGTAGCGGGAAGCTCAGCGGCAGGGGGTTCGGGAGACCGAAGTCGGGGTCTGGCCCTCACGCACCGTCTACGTGACCTTGGCTGAGTGCCTTCTTTTCTGTGGGCCTCAGGTGCCTGCAGGCCAGGGCAAGCCGCGAAGCCGGTGACAACCAGGTGACAGTGACCCCTGGGGACGGGAGGATACCCCAAGATCACCGCGGGGGGAGGGGACGGCCAAGATGATAACAGGTCAGCCGGGAAGGCAGGGCGGACGCGACGGAAAGGGCGGGGGGGGGCACGTGAAGGGGCGAGGGAGTCGGGGGCTCCCCAGGGGATTCCTGGGCTAGGCCGGGCGTGGGGACACTTAGAATGGGTCAGCCGGGTGCTCTGGGAGCTGGGGGTCACAGGAGGCCGGAGGGGTGTCGGGGTCACGTGAGAGGGGGGTTCGGGAACAATGGGGGTACAGGGGGCGAGTGGAGCGGGCAGCGCTCCGGGCCTTTGCGTCTCCTCCCTCTGCCTCACTCACCCCCATGGCGGCTACGGCGGCAGCGGCCCTCAGCTCCTCTTTCCCACACTTGCCGGCAGGGAGGCGGCAACGGCAGCTACGGTGGCAGCGGCGACACCAGAGCGACGGCGGGCCCAGCACCGCGCATGCGCCTCGCGGGCTCCCCCGCGCGCCCTGGAGCGCACCGCGCCTGCGCACAGCCGGCTAGGCGAGGGTGAGCCGGGGTAGGCGTGCAGGTGGAGAGCTCCAGAGGCGGGCCGAGGGTCTCGCAGCCGGAGGAGGCGGGAGTCACAGGGCAGCGTCGCGCTCAGAATGACGCAACCTCGACCCCGCCCCCTCCGCGCCAGGCTGCGTCTGTAGCTATGGCAACGGTTGCACCCGGCCGGGAGAAGTGCGCCCCTGGGCACCCTGGTGGGTGGCCTCGCAGCCCTCGCGCTCTGCGTTTCTGCGGCCCCTGCCCGGCCCCAGGCAGCCCGAGGAGCAGCCACCTTCACAGACAACCAAACCGTCTCGACCTCTGAAGTATCAGCCCTCCTGCAGCCCTGGGGCACAGAGGAAGTCTTTGGAAACTTTCCCACCTAGATCGTGAACTCTTGAAATTCCTTTCTAACCAGAGTCCCGTTATTCATTCATCCGTCTTGTCACTATTCATTCACCCTCCATTCATTCGCGCTCTCAAACATTTACTGGCACCGACGCTGTGCTGAGATCAGGGCCATCGCCGTCCAAAACACTGTGTGGAGAGGAGACCGGCAACTGTTTAATGGAGAGTGGATGGTCCTGGGAAAGTGAGCCCCCAGACTTTCTGGACAGTATTCCAGTCTATCCCAGGAGACCAAGTGACCCCCACATGACCTTCATAAAAATTAGCCAAGGAGCCTGTGCACTGTGCACACCCTTGGGGCCTCTCCCTAGAAAATCCAGGGGTGGAGCCATAGTCTCTCCTGAGAGCTCTGCAGGAAGGTCGTACAGAAGAAAATTGGAGAAATGCTGCCTAAGACTTAAGCATCAAAGGCTTTGCCAAGTTTTGCTCATATCATCCCGTCTTCAGTGCTCGGGGCAGTGATGGCCCCCAAACAGGCACTCAAGCAACATTTTCTGAATGCCTACTTTATGTGGGGCACTGTCTCCAGCAGCAAAGAAAGCAATAACAGACAGAAAAGACACTGCTCTCATAGAACTAGAAGAAGGAGGCAGATTATTTCGATGAGTAGATCCATAATGCTTTAGATGATATAGGTTCTGTGAAGGAAAGTAAAGCAGGGAAGGAGGCTAGGGAAGGTCAGGGTTTATAGTGTTACCTGGGATGCTCAGGGAGGCAAGCATGAGGTGACATTTGAGTCCAGGTCTAAAGTAGATACGCAGGCAAGTCAGTAGGACACCTGGGGGAAGGGCACTCCAGGCAGGGGCACAGCCAGTGCAAAGCCTCCAAGCCGGAGCATGATTGGAATGTCAGAGAAACTGCAAGAAGTCTAGTGCGCTTGGAGAAGAGTGGGCCCGCATAATAGTAGGAGGTGCAATCAAACAGGTAAAGAGAGGAGCATGCAAGGCTGGTAGTCTTTGAAGGGCTTTGGGACTGGATGCCGTCAGAGAGTTTGTGTGGAGGAGCACTAAGGCTGCTTATAGCTCCACCCTGGTGCTGGGACAGGAGAGGGTAGGGGCAAGGTCAAAGGAAGGGTAGTACAGAGGTCATTGCTCTCACCAAGGGCGGGGGCAGGGGGGTTGCCGGCACCAGCTGGATAGCAGCAGAGGTAGGAGAAGGGGCCAGGACGCGGATGCACGTTCAAGGTGGAGCCAACAGGACCTGCCGAGACCGAGGGGTTGAGGAGTGGGAGGGAGGGGAAAGCGTTAAGATACCTTCAGGTTTTTATCTTGTGCTATTGGGAAAAATGAAGAGGCTTCAGCTGAGATGTGGGTGACTTTGCAAGGGGCCGGGTGGAGGTGGGGAAGAGAAAGATCAGGAATTCGGTTTTGGCCATGTCTGTTTTGAGATGTCTTTTAGATATTCACGTGGACATGTGGAATAATCAAGTCTGGAACTTGGGGGACAGGTCCAGGCAGGAGATAAACATTTTAGTACAGTTAGCATATTTAAAACTGGATGAGGCTGGATGAGACTTGGAAGGATTGTAGGTAGTAGACTAGAATGACTCTTCAGCCTGCGTCCTATTCCTCAGTCAGAAGATCTGGTTGCTAGCACTCTGGGGACCAAAAGAGGTAGCCAAGAATCAGAGGGGAGTGGCTGAGGTGGAAAGAAGGGACATCTCAAACTTATTTTTGAAGGAGGAGGTGGCGAGGAGATTTCGGGGGAGGGGACAGTAGTATGGGCAGAGACAGGAAGCATGAAGCAGTGGGGCAAGGTAGCAGTGAGGAAAAAGCTCCACCCTGGCACAGTCCCCCAGCTTCAGCTTCCCTTCTTTCTTTGTCCACATTGAACTTCATGGTCAGTTGTTTCAGGGAACAAACGCCTGCCACCGTCATCTCCTGTGCCCTGTCTTTTCTGCCACTCCCCACTCTTGGGTCCACCCACCTTCCCCCAGGCTGCTGGAATTTGCTGGACACCAGACAAGACCTGGGAGATGAGCCCAGTAATCCCTTGGGGAGGTGACATCATCCAGGCCCCCGAAAGGCTGAGAAAGCCCGAGGCCCTCTTCCGCCCTAGAGCAGTGTTCCTGGGTCAGCCCCCAGTCATGGCCTCTGCCCTGCTCAGGTCTCCTTGGGTAGTCGCTTCAGAGCCAGAATGGCCTGGGTTTAAACAGCCTCTCTGCTGCATTGGGGTTTGTGACTATTGGCAAGGTAACTAAGGCTTCTGAGACTCGGTTGTTGTCGGTTTTTCATTTCTATTGTGAGACTATCCATGGCAATCATTTCACATCTTGATCCATGGGGCTCTGGGAATCAAGTGACGTGGAAGGGTGGATAGCATCCGGCATAGCCTGGGGCAGGAAAGGGATCCTTCTCAGGTACAAAAGTACGTCTCTGCACCCTCTTTGCCCCGCCCCACCCCTCTCTTCCTCCATTCCCTGCCAAACAGCTGCCCCTGGTGACTAGGCTGTCTACACTGGCCCGTTACCCACTCCCTCCAGCTCCCATGCAAGGACCCAGGGGCCCTTCTCCACTCTCCTCTTCTTTGACCCTTCTGCACAGGGACACTGTCTCCTCCCACCTCCTTCCTGGTCTCCCCTTCTTTTCCTCCCCTTCATCCCAAGGCAGCCACCCCACCCCCCGCGCCCAAATACTGTCCATTGCCCTCCTGCCACTCCAGAGCACTCAGCTGCTCCCAACTATTCAGTTGTTCGTTTGCTCAGCAGAGGCTTGGGGCCACTATGTGCTCCGTGCTGTCATCTGAGCTGGGGAACAGGCTTGGGAGGCAACCCTGCCCAGGGCGGGCGTGTCACAGCACAGCTGGGGCGAGGCAGACTTTGCCCTGTGTGATCAGCTGGCCCTGAGAGTCCCTTGATTTCCCCCAGATTCCCCCCAAAGAATCGGACTGCTGCCCGCTCTCCCTTCCCTGCCGTGCGGGGAGCTGAGCCTTGTCCCAGGCCAGGCTACCCTGGGCCTCAAGCCCTCAGGCCCCTCCCTGGAGTTCTCCCTCCCCCCTCCAGCCTTCTCAGCCCCGCTTCTCTCTGGCTCCAGCCTGCGCCTCCCTCTTACTCAAAAACATTTGGAAACAGTGGCCTGCCCTGTCCCTACCTCCTTGCTTCCCAAGCCACTAACTCCTCAACCCGCTGCAGCCTGGCCTCTCTTCTCACCACCAACCGCAGCCTCTCCCTAATGCCTCCAGCAGTTTTGCTAATTTCGAGGGACCATCTAGGGCCTTATCTTTCTGGACCTTGCTCCACCTTCTGGCATTCTTCACTCCCTTTCCCTTGAAATGCTGTTCTTCCCTTGGCATGTGTGGCCCCACAATCCCGCCCTCTTTCTAAAACGCACACCTGGCCAGGCCAGTTAAAGCCTTACAAAAGCCTAGGCTCTGTGAGGGGTCAGGGTGTGTGGCCCCTGGCCACCGACCAGGTCTCCTCTCTCCACCCCCACCTTCGGCCCTGCTCTTCCTTCACCCGATACCCGATACCCGCTTTCCTCCTCACCCCTGGGGTCCCGGGTTGAACACTGGAAGCCTCCTTCGGACTCAGGTAGCTGGCCCGGGCACACTTCCTGGGGTCTCCTGGTGCCCTGTTCATCCTCCGTCACACAACCTGATGGTCACTCACCTCCGCCATCTCCCCCATGAGACGGCAGGCTCCCTGCTAGGGCAGGACTGCCAGATACAATGCATGGGACAAACTTAAACCCACTCTGTATCGGAAATTCAGATCACTGGGTGCTCTGTACTTTTATACACTAAATTGGGCAACCTTAACCGCTGTACCCCTGGGACTAGCTCAGGGCCTGACGTATGTAGAGCAGGTGCTCAGTAAATATTAGCTGAAGGAATAATGGCAGCAATGACAGCGGCAGACACAGGTACTGTGGGGCACAAAGGAAAGGTAACAGGCTCCCTAGAGGAGGTGACATCTGAGCCAAAGCAGATAGAGATAATTAGGTCATGGCATCAACCAGCCCCTCCATGGGGATGCTTCCTATAGTGGGGTGAGTCGTGTCCCCTAAAAAAACACGTGGAAGTTCTAACCCCTGGGACCTGTGAGTGAGACCTTATTTGGAAATAGGGTCTTTGTAGGTGTCGTTAAATTAAGGGTCTCGGGATGAGATCATCCTTGAATTAGGATTGGCTTTTAAGTCCAGTGACCGATGTCCTTATAACAGGGGGGAGTGGGAGGCTTGAAACACACGTACACAGAGGAGACGGCGCGTGAAGACGGAGGGACGCGGCTCCAGCCGAGGAAGGCCGAGGACTGCGGGGGCCCTCCGGAGCTAGGAGAGAGGCATGGGGAGGATTCTGCCTCAGAGCCCCTAAGAGGAACCAATTCTGCCGACATCTTGATTTTAAACTCCTGGTTGCCAGCCCTGGCTGGTGTGGCTCAATGGGTTGAGTGCCTGCCTGCCAAGTGAAAGGTTACCGGTTCGACTCCCGGTCAGGGCACGTGCCTGGGTTGCAGGCGAGGCCCCCAGCTGGGGGTGTGTGAGAGGCAATGGATCGATATTTCTCTCTCTCTCATTCCCTCTCTCTAAAAATAA